AAGCATTCTAGCTCCTATATTATTTCTTCAGACATTCTCACACAAAACAGAGAAAATACAGTGCAGGCTGGACTCACCTTGTAGCATATTAAACTGAAATGAGTGACATGTTACAATAACTTAATGAAACAGCACCTGGTAATTATGTAGCCGTGAGCCATACTCTGCAATTATGGCATATAACTGCCTGGATTTCTGAGGAAACTCTGCTTCCTTAAGCCACTGATGATTTGAAGCCCTGTCAAAGAAAAGACCAACTGATTAAAGACCTTCTCTTGGAACTTTTATGAGTTATTATACATGTATTAATAGTGATTTCTCCAAGTGTGGAGCAGATAGATTGGTAGATACATAGGTAGGTAGGTAGGTAGGTAGGAAGAAAAAAAGAAAGAGAGGAAGAAATAAAGAAAGAAATGTGATAGGAAAATAAGATTAGATTGATAGTAGGTAGGTAGGTAGATAGACAGACAGACAGATTGTATGGATGGAGGACAGATACACATAGATAGATAATATTTTACATGTATTAATAGTGATTTCTCCAAGTGTGGAGGTGGTAAATAGGTAGAAAGAAAGAAGGAAAGAGAGGAAGGGAAAGAAGAAGGAAGGAAGGGAGGAAGATGATAGATAAAGCACAGATAGAAGTTAGATTAACTTAGATATGTGGATGGATGAATGGATGGATGGATAGACAGACACACAGACACATACTCCTAAAAACAAATCATGTCCGTTGTTGGCATCATGGAACATGGTGGAGTAGGACACTCAAAGATTCAGTCCTCCACAGAAACAACCATAACAGAAAAAGTCTAGCAGGGTCACTGTCTCAGAGATCTGAGGAACAGAAAGAAAAAAGTAATGAGAACGGAGCCTGGGACATCTGTGAGACATCACCAGGGGACCAGCGTATGAGTTGTGTTGCATACCATGTTCTCTAGAAAGAGGACAGAGAATGAATTTTCTGAAGAAGTAATGGTTGAAAACTTTCCAAATCTGTTGAAGAGCATGAATGTACACATACAAGATCTCCAGCGAAATCCTTCTAGAGCAAACTTAAACACAGTCACACTGAAACACATTATCACCAAACTGCTAAAACACAACGTCACAGAGAGAAACCACAAGAGAGAAAGATCTTGTCACATATAAGGAATTCTCAATAGGATTATATCTTGATTTCTCACCAGAACCCACAGAGATCACAAAGCATTTAAAGTGGTGACAAGGAAAAAGTAAAAGTTTCTATTACCAGTAAGCCCAATGGTAAAGCAAGTCCTTCACACTACAGTGAAAAGACATTTAAATTTTTGGTGGTACTGGGCTTTAAACTCTCGGCCTTTCAGTTGCTGGGCAGGTGCTCTACCACTTGAGCCCCTCCACCAGCTCAGAAAAAACATTTTGAGTAGAAATTTACTGCAATATGAAAAAAATCAAGATCTCCAGTAAAGATCACAACATACATAAGTATAAATATGTGTTTTGGTTGATAATTGCGTTTATTTATTTCTTACACAATTTTAAAGAAAAATGCATAAACATAACTTTAAGTCTGTGCTAATGGGTGCATAATGTGTAAAGAAGAAATTACTGAGGCCGACAATGTAAGGTCAGGCAGTCACATGCTAATAAACTAGCCTGGTGTCACTCCACACTACTTTGTATAAATTAATGATGTCAGTTGTAATGCCCACAGTCACCACTAAGCTAATATCTAAAAATGTGTGTATAACTACACTTAATAAAATAGTAGAGACGCAAAAAAAAAAAAAGGCAGGGGGCATAGCTCAAATAATAGAGCACATCTAGAAAGCCTGAGCCCTTGAATTCAAGACTCACTACCACAAAACTCTCCCCCAAAACAGAATATTATAATGAATCAGTGATCACAACTGAAGACAGTAATAGGAAATGAGGAAGACAAAAAGTTTAAGACATAGAGAAACAAGTAGGGATGGCAGAAGCAAACCTTTCCTTATCAGTAATTAATTTACATGGAGATGGATTAAGCTCTTCAATCAAAAAGCAGACTGGATTTAAAAACCTGCTTGTCATTTGCAGGTAAATGGATGGAACTGGAAAACATTATCTTTTTTTTTTTCCAGTACTGGTGTTTCAACTCAGGGCCAAACCTTGAGTCACTCCACAAACATTTTTTTGTGTGTGTGGTGGGTTTTCTTTGAGATAGGGTCTCCCAAACTATTTGTCTGGGCTGGCTATGAACCATAATCCTCCTGAGTAGCTGGGATTACAGATGTGAGCCACCTATGCCCAGCTAGAGAACATCATCTTAAGTAAAGTTAGCCAGGTTCAAAAAGTCAAAGGCCACATGTTTTCTCTCATATGTGGAATACAGAACCAATACAAACACAGCAATATTATGAAAACCAGGTCAGGCTAAGGGGAGGTCACATATGAGATGAAGGGGGAGGGTAAAAGAAGGAAGTTAAGAAGGTAAATGTGGTTGATGTACTTCCTATACAAGAATGAATATAAAAATTTTAAACCTGCTGAAATCACCATAAGAAGGGAACTAAGGTAAAAAGAAGAAAAATAGAGATGAACCAATTTGGGTTATACTACATATATACAAGGAAGTACCACAAAGAAACTCACTGTTTCTTAAACAAACAAAAATGTCACTTTTTTTTTTCTTTTACAAAATCAGAGAAAAAGAGGTTGGAACAGGTCCTGCTGGGGGTGGAAGGGAGATTTGAACTGGTGGGAGGGAGGAGGTGAGGAAAGGGAGTGTGGGGGGAATATGGTGGAAATATTACGTATCCATATATAAAAATGGAAAATTGAGACCTGTTGAAACTCTTCCAGGAATTGGGGTAGGGGATAAAGGAGGAATGTTAGACGAGGTGAACTCAAGTATGGCATATTGTAAGAACCTTTGTAAATGCTGCAATGTACCCCATCCAGCACAACAATTAAAAAAAACCCTGATTTCAAAGGATTCACTGAAGAACCTGAACTGAGAGTTGTAAAACAGTATCAAGCACTGGAGTGTAGGTCAGTGGTGAGCGCCCGCCCACCTGTGCAAGTTCCTTGGTTAAACAGCCTGAGACAGACTCCTAGGAGGCCAGAAGCAGCAACCCTTCCTGAGCTCTGAGGGTGATTTCCAGATCCCAGGCATAAGCTGAAAGTCCCTGGCCTTGCCTTTGGTCTTCTCTCTCTGTGTTCTCTCCTGGGGATGCCTTCAGCGGGGCTTAAGACATCACAGCTTAGGGAGGACTGAGTCTTTGCAAGATACAAAGCCTTCCAAATGGTGCTGCCTTCTTGGCCATTTACTGAGATTCTCTCTCTACAAGCTATTCAAGAACCGTCAGACCCCTGACCCTCAGACTTTCCAGAGGATCATCAGTCTTCCCACCAGGAAGGACGTCCAGCTCTGTCATCACAGGTGCTGATGGCTCACACTTGTAATCCTAGCTACTCAGGAGGCAGAGATCAGAAAGATTGAAGTTTGAAGCCAGCCTGGACAAATAATGGCGAGATCCTATCTTGAAACAAATCCAATACCAAAAAGGGCTGTGGATTGACTCAAGTGGTCGAGCACTTGCCTAGCGAGTGTGAGACCCTGAGTTCAAACCCCAGTACTGCCAAAAAAATGCAAATTGAAACCACAATGAGATACGATTGTACAGCCACCAACATGGCTGTAATTCAGAAGGAAAATGTGGAGAAACAGGACTCCTCTCTGCAGGTGGTGATGCTCAGTGCAACAGCCACTACAGAGCACAGTTGAAAGCTCCTTCCTTGCAACTCCACTACGAGGTCTACACTCAAAACCACCAGACAGGTGTTCAAACACATGTGCACATGTTCATAGCATGACTATCCACAGTAGCCAAAAGGTGGAAATAGTCCGAGTCTTCATCAGTGAATAAATGAATAAAAAAATGTGGTTATATGCACAATGGAATATTAATTGGCCACCAAAATGAATGAAGGACAGATGCATCTGCAACATGGATGACCCTTCACCACAGTGTGCAAAGTGAAAGAAACCAGCCAGGAATGATGCCACTTATGTGACATCTTCCAAGGGTGCAGATTGGTAGTGGCCAGGGTCTAAGGAGAGAAAAGAGGGACTGACTGCTTGTTGGATACACATGTTTCTTCTTAATGGACAGAAGTGTGTAGGAACATGAAGTGCTCGATGTCACTTGTAAATGACTAATTTCATATTACATGAATTCAACTCAGTAAAGAGCAAAGGCATCAGAGGCCAGAATTTAAAATTCTGTTTAAATCATTTATACATCTCTGGGTGCTGGTGGTTCACATCTGTAATCCCAGCCACTCAGGAGGCAGAGAACAGGAGGACTGAGGTTTGAACTCAGCCAGGGCAAACAGTTCATGAGACCCCCATCTCAAAAAACCCATCACAAAAAGCAGGGCTGGCTAAATATGTATCTTAAAAGATGTTGTTTGGCTTAGTAGAAGGCAAAAGACTTAAATAAGCTAGAGACAATCCTGAGTATGGAAGACATTCCTAGGGTTTGGCCAAGTGTTCCTCTGACACCCCTGTGTTAAAGGCTTGGTGCTTTTAGGAGTGCTGGAACCTTTGAGAGGTGGGGCCTAGAAGGAGAAAGTTAGGTTTCTGGGGCTGTGACTTCTGAAGGGACATAGGGACCCCAGCCTCTTCCTGTCTCTTTCTTTTGCTTTCTGGCCACCACAAGACCAGCAGCTTCCTCAGCCATGGGCTCCCACCAGGAATTGCTACATAGGCTCAAAAAGAAGCTCCGTGACTGTGGCTGACACTGCTTACACCACGGCCCAATTAAACCTTTCCTCCTTTTGTTGATTATTTCAGGCATTTCTTCACAGTGATATAAAGCTGAGTAACACAGATGTCATGGGAATATGAGGTTTAATTTCCAGAATGAGAAAACTCCTGAACATAAAACAGTCCTATTGCCCATGCGGTGCGCTCCTGACTAAACCGGGTAAAAGCAGGCTTGTGTCACTGCTCACAGGCCTGGGCTAGGGCCATGGATGACCAGACAGGACAGCAGCAACAGCAGCCAGTGGGTCAAAGTCAACAGAAATGAAGCAAAGACATCCAGGAGAGAGATCAAGCCAAGAGGTGTACAGTTCAGAAACCAGAACATTGCACTGGCAGAGCAGCTCAGGTGGTAGAGCGTAGATTAGCAAGCGTGAGGCCTTGAGTTCAAACCCCAGTGCATTCAGGGTCCAGCCGGGAGGTTTGCTGCCCTGGTGAACTCTCCCAGCCCACTAACTGCAGGTCATGGATGGAGTGGCCCTGAGTAGATGCAGGTCAGGCTAAGGTAATAGTCGAAGGTAATCAAAAAGAAATAGCACCCGAATGGCACCATACTATAAAATACTATTGTAAGGAAATAACTGAGTTGAAACCTTGATTTTAATGGGAACTCCACACCTCAAATTGTCAGTATATTAAATAGAAATTTCCCAATGTACCAGGGGTTGTGACTTACGATATCGGCCAGTCTGAATGAACAGAATGTCAAAGCAGTGACATCTTTGGGAACCATGTGGGACTAAGAATTTGAGTTGTCAAAATCCTCCCCCCCAACCTGAGCCATCCAAATTTAGAAAAGGTAAAATGTAAAATGTGTTTGCAGTAAATATATGAAGGATTCTTAACTTTAACACATCTGTGATTTCAAAATGGCATTCAATGAAAAAAGAGTACTTTTAATGCTTGTATGAAAAGGTTGTATGGGGAGATAAAAGAGACTGGTGAAGGGAATGAATTCAAGTATGACAGTATTTGATATATTGCAAGAACTTTTATAAATGACAAAATGTACCCCACACCCAGCACAACAGTAACAAATATTAAAAAAAAAAATTCACTATTTAAGAAATCAGTGATGTGAACTCAAAATAAAAGGTTATACTCCTTTTATTATCAGAGATAAAAGACAAAAGCAAGCACTTCTGTGCTTTATGTGTACTTTTCACTACAAATATGAGTTTTTCCACTGAGATCTCTCTCACACCATATCCTGTGAATCACGTTTAAGGTAAAATAGGATTAGTAAGACTTACCAACAAGAAGAAAAGCCAATGTAAACACTACACTTAGGATAACCTTCCATGATCAAATCAACCTACAAAGAATAAAAACCATAAAGAGAATTCAACAATGTAACTCATTACTATTAACCTTTAACTTGGACTTTACCACTACCCCAAGCCAACAAACTTGCTTATTCTAGGTTGAGTGTGTGAATTAATTTAATTCCTAACCCATTATCCTTGAACTTGAGAGAACATGAAGCTATTATATACCTATCAATATTCTTCAAATACTTTTAAGAAAAAAATACAGGTAGGTGTTCCAGAGGTCTCAAATGTAGAATGATGAGGGCACCAGTGGCTCACACCTGTAATCCTACCTACGTGGGAGGCTGAGATCTAAAGGATCAAGGTTAAAGGCCAGACAAGGCAAATAGTTCTTGAGACCCCATGTCCAAAGAGACCAGGACAAAGTGGACTGGAGGTGTGGCTCAAATGGTAAAGCACCTGTTGTAAGTGTGAAGCCCTGAGTTCAAAATCCTAGTCCTAATCGTCCCTGCAGAATGAACGAAAATAAACAAAAGTCAGGCTTTGGTTTTTTTTTTTTTAAAATTTGGTTTTAAGAATTAAGTCAAACTGGGTGCTAGTGGCTCACGCCTGTAATCCTAGCTACTCAGGTGGCAGAGATCAGGAGGATCATGGTCAAAGCCAGCCAGGGCAAATAGTTCATGAGACCCTATCTCAAAAATACCCATAATGAAAAAAGCTTAGTGGAGTGGCTCAAGGTATAGGCCCTGAGTTCAAGGCCCAGAACCACACACACACACACACACACACACACAGAATTAAGTAAAAAATTATCTGATACGTTTTTAAGTTATGATAACCCTCTTCCCACCTTGGGTTGAAGTGTAGCACACACACAGAAAAGTGCATGGATCACAATTGTATAGCCCAAGGACTTTCTTAGAATGAATGCATCCATGTCCCCTCTTTCTCAGCACCGTGTTCTTAAGTGTACCCCCGCCCCAAATTCCCATGTTGAAGCCCTGCTCTACTACCATAAAGACAGGATCTTCTGAAGACGAGTAAGGACAATGAGTTCATCAGAGTGCACTAAACCGATAGGATTGGGGACCTTATCAGAAGAAAAGACTAGAGGCCTTTGAAGAGGCGGGCGTGCTCTTGCTGCGGCCTCGGTCGGCCCCCGAGCCCGCGGGCCCAACCCGGGAGCTCACCTGTGCCTTCGGAGCCGCCGTCCGGCCTGGCCGCCTGGCGCGCGCGCGTCCGCAGCGACCCGCGCGAGTTCCTGCAGCTGTGCGCGCACCTGGACTGCACGCCCAACATCTGGGCGCTGCACGACTGGAGCGGCTGGGTCACGCCCTTCGCGCGCTCGTCGCCAGGCCGCCGCTTCGACACCACCTTCTACCTGTGCTGCCTCTGCCAGCCGCCGCCCGTCGACCCCGACAATGCCGAGGTGGTGGATTCCCAGTGGTTATCTCCGTCAGAGGCAACTGAAAGCTTCATATCAAAAAAAATTTGGTTGCCACCTCCACAGTTCTATAAAGTAAGAAGACTTGAAAACTTTGCCTCTCTCTCTACCTTGCACAAATTTTGTTTGGATCATGCATCAGAAATATCTGAAAGATGGCTACCCATCACACTGGTCACTGCGGACTCAACGCCCCAGCTCTTGCCAGGAGATGAGCTGTACGTAGAAGACCCATACTATATAGAAAATCATCTGTGTACAGAAAAAAAGACTGAAGAAATCATGAAGGAAGGCAAGAGATTTCACCGACTAGTGATACACAATAGCCATCTTTACAGTGTCCATGTGACTATTCAGTCAAAGTATAAACACATTTATCCCAAGAGCTACACAGTAAGCAAGAGCCATCTGTAGGGTGCTGCTAGCTCAGATGCTGGCCACTTGCAGTAGCACTAATGAGTAACGAGGGCTGACTAGCCATGACTGAAGCCTAAGGAACTTTGTGCCACCAAAGCAATAATGCAGTGTTTCTTATAAGGTATCAATGATCTCACTCTGCATAATCTTATTCCGAGTTCTGTATTGTTTTAGCTCAAAGGGTTGAGATGTTCTCTTGCCCTGGTGCTAACTGTCCTGTGTGTTAGCACTTTGTGGGATGGGCTTTGAAGGTTGCTTCATGACTTTCTGTTGGAATTAACCCAAAGGCACCTGGTTAGATGCTGAACTGTAGACTGAGGCAACCTTCAAGGGGTAATGTTGTTTTCTTGCTGTCTTGAGTTTGATGATTAAGATATAATTTTGGTTTAAAACCAAATAGCATTAGTTATTGTGTGTCATAAATTAGAAATCTACTTTAGTTAATATTTTAAAGAAACATGAAGCCATCCTACAACCATCAACTTTTATGCTCTGAAGTTATACTTGGTGAGTGCAGAGAGATTAGAGAGATAACAGTGCTAAGTTAATGAGTTTATTTTCAGTATGCTCACATGGGTCATTTTTCCATATCCATTAGTGTTTGTTTTGTTTTGTTTGTGGTGGTATTGAGTTTGGACTTAGAGCTTTGCACTTTTCCAGGCAGGTGCTGCACTGTTCCAGCCACACCTCCAGCATCCCACTGCCCATTTTTTTTTGGATGGTCTCACTGTGTAGCCCAGGCTAGCCTCAAATTCACAATCCTCCTGCTCAGCCTCCAGAGTGCTGGGATTACTATGCCTCGCTGGAAAAATCTTTTACTGATTAAAGGTGGACAATGATAGGAAGTTATCAATTCTATTTCAAGATCTTTGATAATGATTTTTTTTTGGAAATGTCTTAGTTTTCCTATCAATAAAATAAAGGCAATGATAAAAAAAAAAAAAAAAGAAGAAGACTACAGTAGCTCTTTGTCTGTGTGCACACAGAATACAACCACGTGAGGGCACAGTGGAAGAGAGCCCTCACCACAGACTGAATCAACTAGACCTTGATCTCAGACTTTCCAGGCTACAAACTCCAAGAAAACAAATTCCCTTGGGTTAAGCTGTCCAGTCTGTGGTATTTTTCAATTGAGGCTCACACAGAAGAATACACCCAGCCATCAGCAACCCTCTGGTGCCTGTCCCTTCCACCTGGGAAGGTAACTATCCTCCTGGATTCTATCCCTGCCTCCATGGTGTACCTAGTTTTGTGCTTCCAGAATGTCAAGTCACTCCACAGTGTGGCCTTCGATTTTCACCTGTTGGTCCTGAACTAGTCTCTGTCAACAAAGAGACACAATTCCCTGGTCCAGGTCTTGAGCTATGATTAAGAAGGTGATCCTGACAGGCGCAGGTGGCTCACGCCTGTAATCCTAGCTACTCAGGAGGCAAAGGCCAGGAGGATGGTGGTTTGAATGCAACCAAGGCAAACAGTTTGTCAGACCCTATTTCAAAAAATCCTTCAAAAAAAAAGGTTGGCTGATTGACTCAAGTGATAGAGCACCTGCCTAGCAAGCATGAGACCAACACCACTGAATAAAAAGGTGATCTTAAGTCCAAATGATATAATACATATTTAGATCTGAGTATTTCTTTGCATTTTACTTCTTTAACATTATGCTCAATATTAGTAAACAGATTACTTATATTAATGCCTTGACGTTAGTTGAGCCAACGTTGTACAAATTTACTCTTTCTGATTTGCCCAGTTGAGATGTCAGTTATTAGGGTTTGAAAAACTCCAGTTCAGACACCACAGGGAGACTTTAAGTCCCCTGATATAGAATCATTATGTACTTATCTCCTCCTACATAAGGCACTCATGGTGACCAGCCAGCCAAGGCTAGGGGACAGTGCTAAGAGTTAGGAAGAAGAGAGATTTCCTAAGTCACTCACCTCCCAGGAAGTGTTGCCTTGACACCAGGCCCCCTTAAAATATCATTGGTCATCTGGGGAGTGGGAGAGAGTCCACTGACTAAAGAACCTTAATTACAGGTTAATTATGTCCTCTCAGTGGGCTGAAGTAAATGAAAATTATCATACTACCACATCTACCAAAGATTAATTCTTTTTTTTTTTTTTTTGCAAACATTCCTTTAATGCCTCACCTAGCCTGTGGGATTCTGCCATTTCTTTGTTTCTCTTTCTTTTGGCAGCACTGGGGTTTCATCTCAGGGCCTCATGCTTGCTAAGGCAGTTCTCCCCCATTTGAGCCACTCAGCCAGCTCAGAGTCTACCATTTAACTCATGCAAACCGAAGTATTGACTGTGATTTTCAAATGCCATCCTTCTTGTACTGATAATTTGGATAGCAAACCTATAATTTCTATTGAAAGTTTCTTCTGGTGCAAGTGATTTGTGGTTAATATTGAGATGGTTATTTCATTATTCTCAGTTTTTGTTTTCCCAGCAGGCAGCAAATTTGGCCCATCCAAGAGGACAAGGGACCTGTCCCTTTCAGGCTATATATAAAATGTTCTTACCAGAGGAAAATAGCTATTGGCTCAAAATGTGTATCTAATAACAGTCTGTTTAGACTATTCTTAGCCAAGAGTGTAACTAATGCTTCCGCGTGTAGAGTCTGAAGCCCAGTGTTAGCTCTGCACACTCCCGAGTCTGCACAGGAAGCACACTGATGAAAAAGTGAGTCATCTCTAAGGTTTATTTATTTATTTATTTTTTGACAGTACTGGGTTTGAACTCAGGACTTCACCCTTGCTTCACAGGTGCTCTGCCACTTGAGCCACTCACCAGTCCTTTTTGTGTACTGGGTAGATTTGAGGTAAGTTCTCACAAACTTGCCTGGGATGGCCTCATATTAAGATCCTCCCCATCTGCCTCTCGAGTAGCTAGGAATACAGGCATGAGGCTGTGTTGCCCAGCGTTCATTGTGGGTTTTACAGGACGCTGCTGAGTGTGGTGGCTCACTGCTGTAATCCTGCATACTTGGAAGGCAGAGATCGGGAGGATCACAGTTTGAGGCCAGCCCAGACAAAAACTTTGGGAGCCTACATCTCAATCAATAAAAACATGGCATGGTGACACACCTGTCATTAGGCTACACGGAAAGTGTAAACAGAAGGATCACAGGCTAGGCTGCCCAGGCATAATTGTGAGACCCCATCTGAAAAATAATGAAGACAAAAAGGGCCAGGGCCATGACTCAGGTGGTAGAGCACCTGCCTAGCAAAAAGGAGGCCCGAAGTTCACACTCATCCCCCTGGTCCTCAGTCCCTTGTAATTAATCTAAATGCAACTGATGTAGAAAGACAATGACATTGCTACAGGATGTGTAATTAAGCTTGAGAGGAACCCACTTTCTGTGATGGAAATTAAGCTTGAGAGGAACCCACTTTCTGTCTTTTTCTGGAGATGCTAGGATTTGAACACAAGCCACTCCACCAACCCTGTTTTGAGATGGATTATTTCAAGATGGGGTCTTATGAACTATTTGCCTGGGCTGACTTTGAACCAAGATCCTCCTGATCTCTGCCTCCTGAGTATCTGGGATTACAGGCGTGAATGAGCCACTGGCACCTGGCTTCAGTTTTATTGACTTTTGTTCTCATCTTTATTGCTTCCTTCCTTCTGCTTATTCTGGACTTCTTTTTTTTTTTTTTTTTATTCTCTTATAGCTTCTTGAGACAGAAACATAGATGATTGCCTTATTCATCTTTTTTTCGGGGGGAGAGGGCAGTACCAGGATTTGAACATGGGGTTCCAGGATTTGGACATACTTGCCAGGCAGATGCTTACCACTTAAGCCATAACCCTAGTTCTGATTTAATTGTCATGTTTCTAATTATCTTGTGCATTTATTACTGATTTTTTCTTTCATCAGTGTGCCCCTCAAATTTGAATGTAGGACATTTTCTTTTCTTGTTTTTGGCAGTACTGGGGTTTGAACTCAGGACCTTGCACTTGCCAGGAAGGTGCTTTTACCACCATTCCTCCACCCCATGTTACAATTCGTATTAACTTTGAAATGAATTTTTAATTTAATTTTAGTTTTGAATTAGCATGCTTTTTTGTGGTACTGAAATTTGAACTCAGGGCCTAAACTTTGAGCCACTCACCAGCCCTTTTTTATGTTGGGTTTTTTGAGATAGGGTCTCATGAACTATTTGCCTGGGCTGGCTTTGAACCTCGGTCCTCCTGATCTCTGCCTCCTGAGGAGCTAGGATTACAGGCATGAGTCACCAGCGTCCGGCTAGCATATATTATTAATTTGAGGGGAAATGATTTTCTTATAAGCAGCATATATTTGGGCTGTAGGATCTTTGTTTTTATTTTCTTTGTAACCCACTCTGCCAATTTGTTTTTGGATCAGTATGTCTATACCTCCATGTTTATGGTAACTATTGACGTTAGTGATTAATCTGTGATTTGCTATCTGTATTCTGTCTGCATCTTGAGTGAGCTAGGTTGATTAATAACCACACAGCAAAGGTTTAATGAAATCGTCACAACGGGCCTGCCTCATTAGGTAACAGGGAACAGCCAATGAGCCATGTGGCTAATGCAGCAACACAAGGCAAGACATGAACAGTGTTCAGGAAGTATTATGGTTTTCTTGCTTTCCTTTCCAAAGCACATTGACCCAGTGGGTCTGGATTTGGGTGAGGTTGGCCCACCATCATCAGATATTATCAGTTTTTGTTTTTAATTCTTATCCTCCTGGGGTGTGTGTGTAGATACAGCTCATTATGGGCTTAATTTAGAGTTCCCTGGATGAACAATCACTGAATAACATTGGGCAATGTGTGTTTAAGGCCTTTGTCATTTTTCTCTATTTAATTTCTCTTTTCTCTCTCTTTTTCCTTCTCCCACTCCCTCAAGTTTTTTTTTTTAATGTTTTGGGGACAAGAGGTTGTCAAAAATTTAAAAGTGTAGAAAAGTTTAGCTTTGACCAAGATGAGCACCAACTCTCTCCTTTTACTGGTAGGAATACAAAGTGGTTAGGACACTTTGGAAAATAAAGATTATCTGATAAGGCTAATAATGTACCTCGTGAGCTAGCAATTTCAATCCCAGGATCTTTAAACTTTTTCACAAAAAGTTGTTTTGGAAAAATTTAAAAAATGTTTCAAGTATTTCAAAACCTTTATTGACCACAGCCAATAGCTAAAAATCATAGTAGTACAAATAAAGAAATAAGGGTGTATTAATCTAATGAATAATGTGTGTTATAAATACCAGAAATAAAATGAATAGCTTATCGATATGTATAATAACATACAGAATGTTGAGTAAAACAAAACTGACACAAACACATACTATATTAACCTTTTTTTTTTTTTTTTGGTGGGAGTGGGTTTGAACTCAGGGCTTAACACTTGCTAGGCTAGTGCTTTACCACTTGAGCCACTCCACCAGCCCTGATTCCATTTGTTTAAGTGAAAAAGCAGCATAGTGTTAGGATTCACAATGAAGTTGTAAACAAGCTGTAAAGAAAAGCAAGAAGCAAGTTCTAGAAAGACAAGAGTGTGACTGCCTATGGGGTAGATGGCAGTGGTCAGGAAGAGAGGGTCCTGGGGGCTGCACTGTTCTATTTTCAGAACTTCATTATAATTATCAGAGGGTTTGTTTTTTATGAATTTTATGGATTACTTAGGGTTTAGGATCTATTCTGTATTCATTTTATAATTCTAAATTTTGAAAGTGAAAAAAAATAAGGACTGGAAGGCATGGCTCAAGTGGTAGAGCGCCTTCCTAGCAAGAGCAAAGCCCTGAGTTCAAACCCCAGTACTGCCAATAAAAGAAAAAAAAGTAGACAAGGCCCTCAAACATTTGTTTCATGATTGAGTAATTACTATTTGTGATAGCCAGCTTAGATGTCAACTTAGCCAGGCCAGTTTTTCTAGTTGCAGTTATTCAGCCAAATGCTGGTCTAGCTATTTTCTTTCAGAGATGGGGTGTGTTTAACCCATATTCAATTGACTTTTAGTAAAGGAGTTTATCCTAGATAATCTGGCTGGGCATGACTCTATCAACTGCAGAGCGTCACAGCAAAAATGAGTTTGTCTGAAGTCCATACCGTGAATTGCAGCTGTAGACTGGGCCCAGGAGCTCCCATCTGCTGTTTGTGATCACCTGTTCTGTGGAATTCAGACTTAAAACCACATTACCTAGTTCCTGTTTGTACCCAACGTACACTGAAATACACAAATACACATGTGTACACATATACACTTGTATAAACACATGCCTTCTTCTCCAATTGAACACTACTTGATTCACTGTCCAAGGCAACTGGTTTACAAAGGAAAATAACACAGGGAAATAAATCTAAGTGTGGTTGGCTAGAGTCAAGTATGGTTGGTTCACAGTGTAATCACTGCCCTCAGCCACCACATGCACACACACAACCCCATCATCTACCCCAGTAGTCTCCAGTTTTCTCCTAGTATGTGCTCATAAAGGAAGGTCACCTAAGCTGGGCACTGGTGCTCACACCTGTAATCCAGCTACTCAGGAGGCAGAGATCAGGAGATCCTGGTTGGAAGACAGCCTGGGAAAATAGTTGAGACCCTATCTCAAAAATACAACATAAAAAAGGTCTGGTGGAGTGACTCAAGTGGTAAAGTGCCTACTAGCAAGTGTGAAGCCCTGAGTTTAAACACAAGTACTGCCAAAAGAAAGAGAAAAAAAGAAAAGGTAAGAAAAAAAAAGAAGGAAGGTGCCCAGCACAGCTCAAGGCAGGGCAGGGCAGGGCAGGGCACACACTTGTTTCATCATGGTTATCTAATTCTGTTGCAGCATTTTTCATAGTATTCTCTTACAATCCTTTTCATTTCTGTAATGTTGTTAGTCACGTCCTTATTTTCATGCCTTATCTTAGAAATTTCAATCCTCTTTTTTTCGTGGTCATTCTAAGTTTGTCATCTTTGTTGACTTTTCCAAAGAATTAACCTTGGTTTCATTGAGTCTGTGGCTTTTTCTAGTTTACTTCTGCCCTAGTCTTTATTATTTCCTTCCTTCTGCTAGCTTTGTGTTCATTATGCTTTTCTTCCAGAGCCACAAAGTGTAAGGTTAGGTCAGGGGCTAAAGATCTTTATTATTTTGAAGCTATGTGATCATAGCTGCAAATTTCTAACCATCGCTTTCCCTCATCCCATAAGTTTTTGTATGTTATTCTCTTTGTATGTTTTCTGTTGCTCTAAAATCATAGTAGAGTCTAGGACACTTTATAAAGAAAATAGAGTTATGGCTCAAGTGGTAGAGTACCTGCCTAGAAGGTATGAGGCCTTGAAACCCCAGTACTGCCCCCACCTCCAAAAAAAAAAGAAAGAATAAGAAATTACTGCTATCTCTTCCTAATGTATTTTTCATTAAAGTGAGAGTACTTGAGAAAGAGATAAGAATTAGATTGAGAATGAGGAGGAAGGAAGAGGAGAAAAGAGGTGGGAAACACACTATTGCAATGTATTGTTTTATTTGGTACAGACAGACATTCACGTTTTTACACAGTGTATGGATACCCCGCAGTAACACCCTTTTGATCACACAGTGTAGACACAAGTGCTCAGGTGTCAGTAAAGAACTAACTTGAAACTTAAATTTTATCTGAGCAAGTGCATGATAAGTTAATTCTATGGAAAGTTAAAATACCTGTGATCTTATTTGGCTGCCTACAAACTTTCCTGTCAAAAAAATACTATCCCATTAATGAATTGTGTACAAAATAAAACTACATTTTAATGTTACTCACTAATATATAAACAATAATTTCATAAAACTATCACATTGAATCCGATTATTAGAAAGTTTGTAGGTCTATTAGGTATGAAAATTAATTATATTTGTACTTAAAGGATATAGAATAACAAATGTTTAATATGCTGGACTTTGGTTTATGCTCAAAGTATTAGCCAAAAATTTTGAACTAGTAAATGTTATGTTTTCTAATAAATGTTTGAAACTTCAAGGCATAATAAAATATTTTTAATACAAACTATATCACCATATTCTGGAATATGTAACAGGAAAATTATTTCTACAAAGATGAAGGGACCAAACAATAAAAAAGGCTGAAGCTGGCTCTGTGAGTTTCTTCTTCCTGTTGAGGGTCCTCAGGCAATGAGTGCTCCCACACCATGGTGTGTACAGGTGGTGAGGTCAGAAGTGGAGGGAGGTCACCAGGCCAGGAAAGCAGATATGGTTGTGGTTTGCTGACCATGTGCTCCACATCCCAGGGAAAGGCAAGGAACAAAGCCAAGCCTTCTACTGCCTATGCCTCGGGGATGTCGAACATGCTGCAAGATAAGCCATTCCATAAGAACCTACGTTAGTAAAATAGAACAGGAGCCTTATAAATGTGGTTGTAAGTATCATCATGAGCTACTAGAAAGTTCATCCTGAATATTGCATCCGGGTTCATTTGAGCTCTTCCTGTGTCACTGCAGATGGAGATGCTTTTGGGCCTGCAATGCAAGGGACACATGTGAGCAGACAGGTGAGGATGATGTTTTCTATATATTCAATTTTTTCACTTATTGACTTAAAATAAAAGAAAGCACATATTTCTACCCCATTCATAAAGATTAAACATACAGTCCATGTGAAAATTGAGCATACAATCCTAGCTCACAGCACAAACCACACCCAGCTTTGGGACTGGGTGGCCAGGACAGAGCGCCCCCTTGAGTACACTCAGGGATCCCCATCACCGACCCATGCCAACAGAAGGCAACAGGGAGAGGGGACTCTGTCCTTTCCCCATGTGTCACCTCCTCCTTGGGCTTTGTCCAAATATAAAACAGAGCCCGTGACCCAACGGTCAGCTTTCTTGAATACCAAAACACCCTGGAGAGTTGTAAAAATAGCAGTAAGATGTTAACTATCTTATCTCTCGTGGAAGAAAGAAACATTAATAAGAAACCTTGACTAGACAATTTCCAGGAAGTAACAGCAACAGCTTAAAGTGCAGTGTTTTCTAGTCTGAAGACAAAAGACACCACCTGGTTTGGCTACTGTTTACAGTGTAAACCACGCTGGACAGAGAAATAGGAAACAGAAGGGCAAGGAAATGACAGAAAGGAAAAGACAATCAGAGAGAGAGAAGGCGAAACAATGTGACCTCCTCAGCACCAACCAAAGTGGAGGGAGGGAGGAGGGAGCAGGGTTTTCGTGGTGGCACTCCCCCCACCCCTTGAATCCCATTCCATATGGAATCTCTCCAGGACTACGGGTACTTTGTTTGCTGTTTACTAAAAATTTCATTAATTTTAGCTGGTTAAATATTTCTCTAGAATTCAGCAGGTCTTAATGCTAATCATGGAAATGCATGGATTACATAACACCTGCAAGGAATTATTTCCTGACACAAACTTTATAGACTTGTATCTGTGCTAAGTGGTAGCCCCTTGATTACATATATACATTCTGCTTGTGGTGAAATAAATTCTACCTACTTGAGGCCATGCAGAAAATATAAGTGCATGTGTAAATGTCGCAGTGTATCCCCTTGAAGAACTATTATATGCAAAAAAAAAAAAATAGGCTAAGAACAGTAAATAAATAGCAATAGACTAGCCAGTCACTGGTGACTCACGAGTGTAATCCTAGCTATTTGAGAGGCAGATTTCAGAGAATCACAGTTCAAGGCAAGCCTGGGGAAAAAATAAAAGTGAGACCCTATCTCAAAAATACTCAATGCAAAAAAAGGACTGGTTCAAGTCCTGGAGTGCCTGCCTAGCACAGGTCAGGCCCTGAATTGAAATCCCAGTACTTCAAAAAAAAAAGGAAAAGAGAGAGAGAGATAGAAGGAAGGAAGGAAATAATGGACTAATTAATTTGGTGGGGGGAAATATCAAAATAACATAGCACACAGGCTATGGCACGGGTATTTGGTGTGGATATTGCTAGCTGCTCTTTAGCCAGGTTTGCAGTGAGAATTGGGAATAAAAAAGCAGAGCAGAAATGTTTTTAAAGTGTCAGGTTTTTAAAGTTTAAATCTGCAGATGAGAAGGGCTGCATGGTTGTTAGATTAGGACCTAAAAAGAAGCAAAGTAACTTGCACTGGGAAAACAGTAGAGAGGCCTTGAGGACATTTCAAACACTGAGCAGAACCCACTCCTGGTGGGCTCACTTGAAAGACTTTCCCTCAGGAAGAGAAAGTCACTGGGGCATCCTGCATACATAGGGTCACCCAGGGATGGTTTTCGCAGGTTCAGACTCCTAGGCACTCAAGACAGGCAGCAGACCTGGGCATTATCTATGTGATGCTGGGTTTTCAGGCAGGCAGGCTGCAAAAGTTAGCGTCATGGTGGCTTCCTCCCAAACTTTTGAGGAATGCTGGGGATGCCAGGCAGTATTTCAAGGGGTTAAACTCCCTTCAAGGATCCCTGAGAAGTCAGTTGGTGAAGCTGTGAGAGTAAAGCCTAGCATGCAATGGTGATCCCAGGTGCCAGGAGCTTAGGGCATCTGCTGAGGAAAGACACCAAGAAAGAGGCCTGGTGGGCTACAAATGTCAAGTCTATAGGAGTGGGGCTACCCAAACCCAGGAAGGTCACATCACAACATCATGTGCCCCAGATGCCAGACACAGGGTTCCAGGATTTACGGTTCACCCGGCTGGTTTTTGGTTTTGGTGTGGTCTCATCCTTCCTTGCTGTTTTCCTGTTCCTCACTGTGCCATGGAATGTTGAAAGCATGTCATTTTCTTCTTGATTTTACCAGGGCTCATAGACTCCTTGAGTCTCAGAGAAGGCTTTGAACAATGTTGGAACAGTTAAGACTTTGAGGAGTATTGGAGATGGACTGAGTGAATTTTGCATTATGAACTGAACATGAGCCTTTTGGGAGCCAGGGGTGGGATGTGATGGTTTAAGAAGATGTGTTTGGGCATTAAGTGACAAGGGGCGGATTTGGGATGGCTGGTGGTGTCAACCTGATTAGATTAAGAAGCTCCTAGGGAACTAGGCACCGGTGGCCCAGACGTGTAATCCTACCTACTTAGGAGGCAGAGATCAGGAGGACCATGGTTGAAGCCAGCCCAGGGAAATACTTTGAGAGACCCTGTCTTGAAAAAACACATAGAAAACAGCACTAGTGGAGTGGCTCAGGTGGTAGAGTCCCTGCCTAGCAAGTCTAGAAAGTCTGAGACCCTGAGTTCAAGCCCCAGTGTTGCCCCACCCCTCTCAAAAAAGAAACTCCTGGGAAATTAGTAATTCTGGGTATGATGTGAGGGTTTCCAGAGAGGATTAAATGAGGGAGGAAGATCCACCCTGAATGTGTCCACATTCCTTGAACAGGGGTCCTAGACAGAACAATGGGGGAAAGAAGGGAAAGAAGCACTGTGTTCCCTTTTTCTGCTTCCTGGTTTCCTTTTTGTGGTGTGATTTGAACTCAGGGCTTCATGCTTGCAAAGCAGGTGCTCTACCACTTGAACCACACCTCCCCAGCTGCCTTGATTTGAACTCTTCTGCTCTGCTGTACCCTCCCCACCATGCTAGAACAACACCTCTGAAACCCTAAGCCAAAATAAACCTTTCCTCCCTTAAAATAATCTCATTCTCAGTAGCAAAAGAAACACTCAGGAGTAAATTTAACCAAAGAGGTAGAAGGATCAGTACATTAGATACTTTAATTTGCTGATGAGAAAAATTGAAGTAGACCCAACTAAACAAAAAGATACCCCAAATTCATGGATTGAAGGAATTAATATTGTTAAAATGTTCACATTGCCAAGTGCTGTGGCTCACCCTGTAATCCTAGCTACTCAGGAGGGAGAGATCAGGAGGATCACAGTTTGAAGCCAGCCCAGGCAAATAGTTCATGAGACCCTATCTTGAAGAAACCCATCACAAAAAAGGACGGGTGGAGTGGCTCAAGGTGTAGACCCTGAGTTCAAGCCCCAGTACCAAAAAAACAAGATGTTCCTACTACCCAAAGATATCTTCAGATTTCATGTTAATCCCTATCAAAAATTTCAGTGGCATCTTTCATTGAGAGAAATAACTCTGAAATTCTTACAGGACCATAAGAGACCCTAAATATCCAGAGAAGTCCCGAGGAAAACAGGAAAGCTGGAGGAATCATGCTGCCTGATGTCAAAACACATTATAATGCTGGAGCGATCATGACAGCATGGGGCTGCATGAAATCCAAAAACAATGCACCAGACAGAGCCCAAAACAAGCCCCCAGATAGACAGCAAAGGTGTCAAGAACACAGTACAGAAAGGACAGTCTTTTAAAGGTTGCTGGAAAACTATAATCCACAAGCAAAACAACATGAACTAGACACATCCCATATCATATGCAACAATCAACTCTGCTCTTACATCAAAGTCCCCACACAGATAAACTTAAAAAAAAATACACTGGGGATCTCCCCAACAGTGGTCTTGGAATGATTTTTGTAGTGATCACCAAAAATAAAAGCAAAAATAGACAAATGGGATTACATTAAGCTAAAGAGATTATTCACAGAAAAGGAAGTAATCAACAAAATAAAAATACAATCCACAGAACAGGGGAGAACATTTTGAAGCAGTATGGCTGATAAGGGTTAAACTCCAAAATAAATAATGAACTCAAACTACTCCGTAGCAAGAGAGCAAATAACCCACCTTGAAAATGGGCAAAGGACCCAAACAGACATTTTTCAAAAAATATATACAAATGGCCAATAGATATATGAAAAATGTTCATCACTAAGCATAAGAGAAATCCAAAATAAACCACCACTCCTGTCAGAATGGTTATTTTCAAAAAGATGAAACAGGAGAATGTTCCCAAGCCTGTGGGGAAAAGGGGAAAGGGCCATGGAGCACTGCTGATGGGAATATAAATTAGTACAGCCATCACAGAAGGCAAGGTAGAGGTTCCCCAGAAAACCAAAACTAAGGCTGGGCACTGGTGGCTCACACCTGTAATCCTAGCTACTCAGGAGGCAGAGATCAGGAAGATTGCCATTTGAAGCCACCCCGGGCAAATAGTTCACAGGATCATATCTTGAAAAACCCTTCACAAAATAGGGCTGGTGGAGTGGCTGAAGGTGAAGGCCCTGAGTTTGAGCCCCAGTACCAAAAAACAAAAAAACAAACCTCGATCTACCATATGAGCCAGTTGTCCCACCTCTGGGTGTACATCCAAAGAAACTGGGACCAGCATGCCAAAGGGATGTCTGCACGCCCATGGTCATTGCAACATTGTTCGAAGTGGCCAAGCTATACACTCAACCTAATATCATCAACAGATGGACAGACAGAGAAAATGTGGTCCATAGACACAAGGAATGCTATTCAGCTACAAGGAAGGAAATTCTGTCATTTGTAACAACATGGATGAGCCCAGAGGACACCATGCTAGGTGGAATAAACCCAGAGGAGAAGGACACTTACTGCATGAGCTCACTCAGATTGGAATCTTAGAAAGCCAAGCCCATGAGAGCAGAGAGTAGCATGGTGGTCACGAGGGGCTGTGGGGGGCGGGGAGGAGGTGGAAAGTGTTTGACAGAGAATAGGGAGACATTGGTCAAAGTGTGCAAAGTTCAGCAGGACAGGAAGGATAAGTTCTAATGACTTGCAGAGCGGGGTGACTGCAGCCAATGATAACACAGTGCGTGTTTCAAAAGCATGAGCAGAGCCAGGCATGGTGGCTCATGCCTCTAATCCCAGCTCCTTGGAAGGCCGAGATCATGAGGATTGCAGTTGGAGGCCAACCTGGGCAAATAGTTCACGAGACCCCCATCTCCAAAAATAAACAGAGCAAAATGGTCTGGAGGTGTGGCTCAAGTGGTAGAGTCCCTGCTTTGTAAGTACAAAGCTCTGAGTTCAAACCCCAGTCCCACCATTTAAAAAAAAAAAAAGTGTGTGCAGCATGGGCTTCGGAATCAGAGTACATGCAGTTGGGAGGAGGTCATGGTGGGCTGCAGAGAGGCTGCACGATGAGATTTAAAGACTACATCCATTGGTGTTTTTTGTGCATGAGGCTCTTATATTTCCATGCAGGTCAATTTCTCTAAGAATACTCACTTGGAGGAGAGGACCCTGTAATAAAGGAGTATAAATACATTTGCTTCTCAATTAATGAAATAGACCAGCTATTACAATAATTCATCATTACTTAAGAATTAGCAAAAACTCTGTACTACTTAAAACAACACAGTCATAAAATACTGCTGACTCTATAGAGGTAAAAGAGGCACTTTTGTTTGATTTTTGAGACAGGATCTCACCGTGTAGCCTAGGCTGACCTCAAACTTGCTGTCCCCCTGCCTCAGCCTCCTGAGTGCTGGGATTACAGGCATGAACCACCACGGCTGGCCACAAGGGCACTTGTTGGTAACTTCATTCAGTATGAACTCATCATTCATCTCCTCCACGGAGTCAGTGCTCATTAGCAGACCTTGCTCACAAAGCAGTAAGCAGCTGGACATGGAAGTCATGCAGAGATCTACCCATACAAACCTCGTATTAAGCACTTCAAATGCCTGAGGATATGTGGCAGGCTTCTCTCCTCTGAATCAAAGGAAGGAAAGGACTGAGGATACAGCTCAGAGGTAAAGTGCTTGCCTAGTATGTGCAAGGCCCTGAGTTCAATCCCCAGCACCATAAGAAAACAAAACTAGCCTGGTATTAGTGACTCACATCTGTAATCTTAGCTATTCAGGAGGCAGAGATCAGCAGGAGGTGGTTCAAAGCCAGCCCAGGCAAAAATGAAAGCAAGAACTTCTCTTGAAAAAACCCAACTCAATAAAAAGGACTGGCAGAGTGGCTCAAATGGTAGAGTATCTGCCTAGCAAGGCTGAGGCCCCTGAGTTCAAATCCTAGTACTGCCAAAAAAAAAAAAAAAAACCTTCTTCGAAAAGAAATGAAGTCCCAACAAGAGTAAAATAATTTGCCCAGAGGCAAATGCTCAGAAATTAGTAGAGCTATGGAAACTAAATTTAACCCTCAAGAGGCTTTAAAATACCCATAATCCCAGCTACTCAGGAGGTAGAGATCAGGAGGTTCATGGTTAGAGGCCAGCCCAGACTAAAAGTTAGCAAGACCCCATCTCAACAAACAAGCCAGGCATGCTAGTATGTACCTGTCTTCCCAACTACAGCTGGTAAAATAAAAGGACTGCAGTTCAGGTTGGCCTGAGCAAAAAGCAAGACCTTATCTCCAAAATAGCCAGAATAAAAAGGGCTGCAGGCATGGCTCAAGTAATACAGCCTAGCAAGCCCTGGGCTCAAATCTCAGTACAGCAACAGCAAAATAGATGCATGAATCAAACCAAATACTAATTTTCTCTTGGAATATTAAAAATTAAAGCCAGTATATTATTTTGAAATACAATAACAGACAAAGTTATAATTTAAGAAATGCTGATAATGGAGCCATTTCAAGTTTGAATTTAGATTTGTTTTCAAAGGATAGAGGCTTTTTTATTTAAAAGAAAAAGTGTTGGAGTCCAGCACTGCAGGGTCACAACTCTGGACCCTGAAGACTGAAACTAGTGTTATTTAGCTCATTGTTGCTGTTGCAAAGTTTTACATGTAAAGAATAGTATGAAGCCCTGGAAGCCATGGTTTTTTCTGGGTTGTTGGAAGCAAGAGGAAAAAGCAAGCTGGGAGCTAGTGGCTCACTCCTGTAATCCTAGCGACTCGGGAGGCAGCGATCAGGAGGATTGCAGTTTGAGGCCAGATAAAGGACCTCATCTCAAAAACAGCCAACACAAAATAGGACTGGTGGAGTGGCTCAAGTAGTAGAGCACCTTGCCTAGCAAGTGTGAGGCCCTGAGTTCAAACCCCAGTACCGCAAAGAGGAAAAAAGCAAACCATTTATTATCCTCATGCTTATCTGTAACCTCGGTCACTCTGTGAACTTTTAACATTATTTCTAGATTACTTATATCTCATCATGCAATAAGAAAGCCACCTGCAAACCCTGCCTTGAGGGGTATGGAATGTTGGGGCACCCCTCACCTTGAGCTTTCTGAGAGACCTCAGGAGCCTCGGGGTCCTGGGGTGCCTCTGGATCCTCCAGCCCTTCAGGGTCTTGGGTGGACTGAGAGGACACGGATGCCTTGGACATCTTCGGGGTCCTCCTATCCGAGTCGCCTTGCTGCTGCTGTAACCACTCATTCTTGTAACCATTGCTGATGAGTTTGGAAAAGTTTGTTGGTGAACCTGTTTTCTGACCAGGCCTCAAAAAGAGAAAAACGAATGTTAAACTTTAGTGTGACAGGTGATAAAAGAAACAGAAGCAGCATTCAGGGAACACAGTGGTAGTAAGTCCATACGTATTACCGCATCCTAACCACAAAGGTGCTCTAGTCAGTGTCTCTCTCCTTTCTCAATAGACAGAGAGAGCTCTTTCTCCCTTTGTCTCCTTCCCTCTCTGTCCCTCCCTCTTTCCCTCTCTCTCTTTCCCTTCCTCTCTCCCTCCTTCTCACTCTCTTCTCAGTCTGTCCCTCCCTATCTCTCCCTCTGTCTCTCAATTTTGTCTCTTTCTCCATTTTTAAGAATAAAAATTACATTTCACAGTATTCCTTATACGTGGGTGAGAATAAGTTTGGTCCAGTTCTCAAAACCTTTGATGTTAGCCAATTAACAATCAGTAATGACTGCAGTGTTATATTTCACAAGGAAGTCCTCAAAACACGCCCTTCCCGATACTAATGGATTGCTCAGAACCTCCATTCCTTTAAACAAATGATTTCTTTCTTAATTACTTTCTCTTGTCCTCGCTATAGTTGACCCGACACTGTTTGCTGCCTCCCTGGCTCTGTGTCCTGTCATGTGTCATCGCTGGCTTCGCCTTCACCACCTGCTGAAATTTCTCAATCTCATCACAACCCAAGTCACAGCTTTTGACAGGTGGGGCAGCACATGCTTTCAGTCAAAGGGGTGACAAGAGCATTGCTTGTTTCCAACTGAAAGCGTTGGGTTTCTGACTGATGTGTGAGTCACTTTTGTTAAGGGTGCCTTGATGGTTCCCACCCTCTCTGCCTCCTCCCAAGTTTCTCTGTCTTCTCTGTTCCTCCTCCCTCGTTGCCTAAGCTGGGTATTCACACAGTATCGGTCACAGTGTAATTACCATGAAAAGCTGTTTGAAAAATTAGTCAGGCAATTAATGTCATTTATTCTCACACTAAACTGGAATTCTGGGAAAGTACAGAAGGCCTCTGGGATCTTCCCCTCCAGTTGGAAGATCCACGAATGTTAGCTCCAGCTAGCTGCAGAACCAGAGGTCCCACAGGGTGCAGCCCCCGGTGCTCAGCCTCAGTGACAGAAACCACCAGTACCAAGCAGCATGAGCATGCAGCGTGGAGTGGCTCCAAACCACAAATTTGCATGGAAAACAAGACAAAGAGGGGAGATGTGCTCAAAGAGCCAAAAAGATGTCAGGAAGTGACAAAAACGCAATTAGATGGTGGGCAGGCGAGGTGTGGCCGGGCTCTATGGGCAAGGCTGTGGGAAGTATAGGTCATGGTCACAACTGTTGTGCAGATGAATGATGGAAGACCAACCCCAAACTTCATCGGGCAGCATTTGTCCACGTGGCTCGAGCACTCACATGGGTGGGAAGGACAGTCTACTTCCTGCAGAGTCTTTAGGGCCAATGGGGGTCCCCGCTTTGCTTGAATACTTTGAGTTAATGGCTGGCAGCTTCACCTATGCAGAGAAATACAAGTACTGAAGTCAGAGGAGAAGAAAACTCACCAAGAGTAGCAAAGACACAAAACTTGTAGGACTGGACTTTCACTGTGGTAGTAAACAGTCACGACAAAATATAATTTGACAATAGTCCTATTCAGCAAGACAGACTTGAAAATGGGATGATGAATGACTTTATGAGTGGTTAAGTAAAGATACCATCTACTCAGGAGGAAAACAATGAATAGCTAACCATAGGAGCATTAAAGTGTCCTAAAAGATCCCCAACCCAGAGGAAGGATTCCCATGCCTGCCCAAGTGAAAATGAACAGTCATGCAAAGCTTCTGGTCAAGCTCTCAGGGGCTTTAGTGACAGTCACCAAGAACTAGAAGCACGGCAAGTGCCCATCAACAGAGAATGGATAAGCAAATGGTACCCTGGTCCACAGGGAAACACTACTGGGCAACTCAGAAAACCGAGTTCTGACACTCCCAAGGACATGGCTGTACTCAAGTGCATGTTGCCTCGTGATGGACGATCAAGGGCAGGATGCAGTGGACTTGACGTTCTAGAAAAGGGAAAGCTATAGAGACTGAAATCAGATGGTGCCTGCAAGGGGGAGGAAGGCTGGGAAGACAAAGGGGCTGAGAAATTGGGGGGCTGAATGAACTGCTCTGTAGCCAGGTTGCTGTGGTGTACAGAGCAGGTGAGCTTTACTATATAAAAACTGTGCCTTATAAAAATAGAGAATGAATGGTATGAGAAAACAGAAAAGCAAAACGACAACAGCCAGGTGATGGTGGCTCACACCTGTAATCCTAGCTACTCGGGAGACAGAGATCAGGAGGATCTCAGTTCAAAGCCAGCCCAGACAGATAGCTTGAGAGACCCTACCTTGAAAAAAACCCATCACAAAAATGGGCTGGTGGTAGTGGCTCAAGGTGTAGGCCCTGAGTTCAAACCCTAGTACCTCAAAAAAAAAAAAAAAGAGTAAGCAAATAAAACCCACTGAGGAACCATCAACATTTTTAAGAAGAGCTGGAGACACCATCCCTCCCAATCACCCTGCAGGTGAGCTTGCCTGCCCTAAGTGCAGGGCTGGCCACAGTGTAGCTAAGGAAGCTCTGGACCCCATCCCTGTTTCCAGGAGGTAGGAGTCTAGGGAAGGCTGCACGTCCAAGTCCAGTACAAGCTGGTAGCTCAGGATTCTCATGTCACAGCTCTTACTTTCTATACAAGAGCTCTTGCAAGACACAGGAAGGAAATAAAGGAACTCCCCATTTCAGCAGGGTAGAAGGGAGAGCTAGATGGAAAATTACACAGCCAGTGGCACTTGAGTACCAATGGTGTTCCATTTCTTCCTGGAGCAATCGGGCCTTCCCTGATGAACTCATCCCAGATTACCCAACACCGTGTTTCTTCAGCATCTGAGCCTCTCTACTGTCCTACCTTCTTAGCATGACAGGGGTGGGGAACAGGCCGGCCTCAGGCATATGACAGCCCCTAGCACAGCTTGTATAAGTGGTGACTACCTAAGTAACTCCACTTAATTTGTAGTGATGTTGCATTCAGCAACATCAATGTAAATTTCTCCAGCTATGTACTGTAGTGGTGCTCAATGTCCAAGCGTTGTGTTGAGCGCTAGGTTTCAGCTCAAGGTCCTTGGCCCCTTACATGTCACTAAGAAACATGCCTGGTCTTTAGTAGAGCCCATTCGCAATGGTCATTGAAGGGACCCAACACAGGGTCCCTTCAACACAGTGTGGCATTGCGGAGGACCCACTGCAGCCAACAGCCCAAGTCCCCAAATCAACTGAGGGGTTTCTGGTGTGAACACCAGGACATGGAGATGTCAGACTGGGGAGTTGGCTGTGCCTAATAAGAGCGCCAATCTCCTCAGTATTCAAGTGACAACGGTGTGCACTCAGTTCTCAGGATCACAGCACCACTGTTTTTTTTTTTTAATACAAATTACATCACTTCACTAATAAATCCTGCAGCACTAAGACTAATTTCATCCTCGGTGCTAGCAGCCGTGCAAAGCCCTCAGTGATACAGGTGACTAGAGTGCAATCCCTGGAGTCCCTGGCAGTCCCAAAGAGGAGGTGAGGGGATGGACAGGGCTTCTAATCAAGAGGTCACAACCTGTCTATCAACCAGGGATGGGTTGCCCTTGAGAGCCCCTAAGAAACCTTTACTTTGCAGGCCAGTCACTCCTTCAAGGTCAAATTCACCCTGGGAGTCTGTGCAGAAGAAAATAATCCCTCTTCTCATCCTTTATTATCAGTAAGGAACATTTTAGGAAACCTCAACTTCAATATTTAACATGAAACAGAACTACTCAGAAGCAAGATAGTGAGTACAAATAAAATTCCCCGCCTATAAGTGCCAGGTGAGATGTGTTATGCTAATTTCATCTTTAGATACCATCTCATGGCTGATCACCTTTTAGTAGAAGCAAATGTAAAACAAAGAGCACATGGCTGGTGTCACAAGCATTGTAAGACACGCAGCATTGGGAGCGTGGGAGGGAAGCTGTAAGGGAGAGCAACGGAAGGGGTTGAACTGAGCAAAGTAAAGTAGACTCACAGTGGGGACACATCGAGAATCCCCTTTGAACATTGACTTAAATATTAATAATGAAAGACAAGACTGTGAAATAGGTACAGTGTGGGGGGTGGTACTTGTGGGAGAGGGGAGGTTGAATGAAGGAGATGAAGGTGAGGAAATATGGTGGCTGGACTTCATATACTTATATGAAATAGAACTAAGAAACCTCTTGCAATTGCTTTAAGTGGGGCGGTGAGGGGGCTGAAGGGGAGAGAGGGTGGGGGTGATCTAACCAATGTACAATATAAGTCTAATCAGAATTGTCACTGTGAATCCCCCCTAATGATAATATGTCCGAATAAAAAAGTTATAATAAAAAAAGACATGCAGCATTAACAAGCAACTGCAGAAACAAAGCAACGTAAATGACACCAACATCTGTTATGGTGTTATGTCCCCTGTTCATAAGCCCTACCTTTTTTTTCACTTTCTCAAGTTCCTCCGCTTCTCTTTGCCAAACTGTTTTCATATCAAAGTCAAAGGGGCCTCTTCTGGATTCGTAGCTACCATTGGCCTGCGCAGGGTTGAATTCCTCATAAACCATGTAATCTGGCATGGAGACCACAGGGGCTCTGCAGAGACAGAGGGGACAGTTCCAGTCTGAGGTCAGCCACCACTCCTCCCTCCCTCCATCTGCCTTGAAGGCACAGGTGGGCTCTGCCCTGCTGCTACCACTGATGAAACACACCAGCAGGATCACAAGAACAACTCACACAGGTCCCGTGGGAATTAAAAGCCAGCAGTGCATTAAAGTGTGAATTTATGAAACAGATCACTTATACAATAATTATTGGGCTGGTGGAGAGGCTCCAGTGGTAGAGCACCTGCCTGGCAAGTGTGAGGCCCTGAGTTCAAACCCCAGCAATAATAATAATACAATCATTATTTATTTTGGAATAGCATCTACTGCTTTGTCCCCTTTAAACAGCTTAACACAAGTAAACATTTACCATTTAATACAGTCACTTAAGATAATAATAACTGTCCTCTACTGCCTGTTCGATGATGTGGGTGTTTAAACTTCCAGTTGGTCTTTCCCCACAAAGGACATACAGGAAAGAGTCAAGTCCAAAGTCCCCCAACCCCTCCTCTCTAGCATGCTCTCTCACTCACTGGGCCTTGTTCTCTCTCTTTTCTGAACTTAGCACAAAATATCTATTTTTAAAAAAAATAGGAGGTGGGGTGCCAGTGGCTCACGCCTGTAATCCTAGCTACTCAGGAGGCACAGATCAGGAAGATTGTGGTTTGAGGCCTTATCTTGAAAAACCCATCACAAAACAGGGCTGGTGGAGAGGTCTACAGGTCTTGAGTTCAAACCCCAGTTCACTAAATAAATAAGCAAACAAAATAAAATAACAGGATGATGGAAGGGGTGACTTCAATTATAATATGTTGCAAGAACTTTTGTAAATGTCACAATATACCCCCAGTACAACAATATGATAATTAAATTAAAAAAAAACAGGGAGCCTCATATTCCCATGCCTTAGGCGTATGGTAACTTTCGTGTGTTCTTTTTCCTGTTGAAACTGAAAACTCTGGTAGTGCACATGGATGTCCAGGGCAAGCAGAGTTCAAGCCAGACTGGACAGTATAGCAAGACCCTGTCCACAAATGAACAAACAAACAAATATACAAACATCAAACAAAAAAGACAGAACCAGAATCCTGACGACAAAAACTGCCCTGTGACTATGGACAGAACAGGCAGCGGACACTAGAAAATGCTTAGAAATACATATACAGGTCTTATCTTCCAAGCTCAAAAAAAATACGAAGTTGTTCATTCAAAATGACTTTTCATGTTTCCACTCTGTCCAAGACGGGGAGTTTGGAGGATTGAGGTTGCAAGGTCACAAACAGGAATTGCCAGACACTTCAAACATTGTGGAGGACAATGACACCCCATAACTCTAATCATCACAGAAATTTAATGTTGTCTATATTTCTGGCTGTCTTGTGCCTTTCATCTGTAAAAAGAAGAAAGCTTTGGGACAGTCTGCTGCTTCTGTGGCAGGTAGATATTGTCCTGACACACAGTACAGCGAACAAAAAAACCTGGAGCTATTTACTGATAAGTCACGTAAAACCCCCCACTTTGAGGCAGGAACAAAAGGCCCCTGGTTTTCTATCTCCAGACTTCTGATAACTTGGGCTATACTCCCCAAAGCCCTGGTCATGTAAATTTTGTGCTATTTTATCTCAATAAGCCAAAACACAGGTAGTGTAAGACACTCACTCACGCTGCTGGGCTGTCACAGGCTTGCTGTGGTGGACGTACCAGTCCGGTAGGGAGTAGGCAATGGGAGAGCCTGTCCTGGTCCCAGGGGCAAAGTGTTTCAGCAAATCTCAAAGAGAAAGAGACACAGCTACGTGGGTCCTGTGGCCTCACATGCACCAGTAGCCCTCAACAAGGGATGCTGTGCTATGCTGTTACCCTGGGGTCCCTCTGAGCTGGGCACTACCAGAGCATCCCAGGCCCTCTTCTGCTTCAGAACAGGCTAACAGCTGGGGGTCCAGCTGGTACACAAGCAGGGACATCCCACACATGTGCACCCCTCACCCCCATCTCGCTCTCCTGAATGGATGTGGACACAGCCCATGGTCCTGAGATGGTGTGGTGGTCTATGCACGCCACTGTCATCACTTACTGGAGAGTTCCTCCCTCCATTCCTCAGTTAGCTGTGTGTCCAACCCTCCTCCCCAACCGAACATTCTCCAAGAAGTAACATTGTCCTCCTCTGCCTTTGTGGGGCTGTCCCTGCCTCCTCCCCACTCCCAGCCATTTCCAGGAGAAACTGCTCCTTCCAGGTTCCTAGATGGGATGTCACCAGGGGGATCTATCTGTCATTTTAGAGCCAGCCTGAGAGACACAGAGCACAGGCTCCTTCGAAGCACTCAGGCTAGTGGTTGGCTTTCTACCTTGTCCCTCCCCATCCACTGATGTCAAAGGCAGCTAGCTAGCTTTACAAAGAACTGGTTTTGCCAGATAACACCAATGGCAAAACCACAGCAGTATTTATGGCAGGAGCAGCAGACATCTACTGATTTACCACTCCCAGGAAGGAGTTTTTACCTTGCCATTTTTAACTTTAGAATCTTTTTCTTGTTACATATTTCAGACCTACAGAAAAGTTGCAGGAATGACCTGAACTTCCCCACACCCTTCACCCAGATGCCCCAAGTACTATCCTATCACAATTGCAGTTGCTGTATCAATTCTTCCCCCCGCCCCCCCATCTCTCATCATTATTGTCACTGTCAGTATTAGTCTCAGAACTATTGGGCAGCGTGTTGCAGAAGGGTGTCACAGAGGATCAATTCCGTATTTCACTAGATGTTCCCAAACCAGAGACCTTACACAATCCCATGATGACGATCAAAATCAGGATGCAATGCTCTTACTCTCTCACAGATCTCATTCAGGTTTTGCTAGTTGTCCTGCTAATGTCCTTTTAATCAGTAGCAGGGGAAGGTGGATCTGAGAATACCTACCATGTCTAGACCTGGGCCCACCTGCTCCTGCAGAGTAAGCCAAGTGGTTTGGACTGGGTTTTACAAAATGAAAGCACAAATGTGGCCATTTGGCTTTACATTTCTCCTATGACATTCTCTGTAGGAGTAGTGGCAGCGAGCGGGGACAAAAGAAAAGTTTAGTGCCCCTCGATGTCACTTACCCTAAAGCCTCACCATGAGACATTTGGGAAGCCATCATGATCCATTGAACTCACTATGTCTCTCAGTTTCTTTTATTTTTGCAGTAGTGGGGTTTGAACTCAGGGCCTTCACCTTCAGCCACTCTACCAGTCCTTTTTTGTGATGGGTTTTTTTTCAAGATAGTGTCTCAAAAACTATTTGCCTGGGGCTGGCTTTGAACTGCAATCCTCCTGAGCTCCGCCTCCTGAGTAGCTAGGATTACAGGCATGAGCCACCTGCACCTGGCTACTGCCTCAGTTTTAAGTATAGTTGAATAGTACCTTATGAATTAAATCTTATATAAAAGTTGATTTTCATCAAAGATTAAACACATCCCAATATACTTCATGAAGTTAAATTTCCAAGGCCTTGGGCCAAAACTGCAGATTGTACAGCAATATTTCATATGGGTGAGATCAGGATCAATGCCCCAGCCCTGGTCTTGAAGCCACAGGGTGCATAGAGGGCTGGCTTACCAGGTCTGCCACCTTGCTTCGCAAGCTTCACATACTCTGAGTCTGTTTCTTTTATCCAGTACCTCCGGACCCCAGGCATGTGGCCGTTCTGTGATTCGCCCAGATCACTGAGTCCTGGGATTTGGGATGCAGGTGGGGCACCCACGGCCTTCTCCGAGCGCTTCACAGGGAGGTGGTAATACCAATCTAGACAGGAGGGAGGCTGCGGTCAGTGCCGCACTGGGTTTCAGCAGGGCACCTGCATTGAGTGAGGGCCTCTAGTTCCCCCATTCCATCTTTGTGCAGATGGTGCAGTCAGGGCAGTGTGAGACACTGCATAAGGCAGGAATCACAGGCTCCAGAGCTCCTGGGGTGAAGCAAGACCCTACCAGTGGAGTAATTCAGTCTCCTGAGCCCACTTCCCCCCAAGAATGCCAGTCACCAACACCAGCGGAAGGAGCAGTGCCCCAATCTGGCCTTGTGGCCTGCAGCAGCCTGACTTTCTCTGCAGAGCTGAAAGCCCCACCTCTTCCTCAGTGGGTTGGCTTCCAGGAGGCATCTATACCTCCTGGGTCCATCCATCTGGCTGTCTCTCCTGAATAAAGTTCTGGGGAGTATGAAATCCTGAAAAATTCCAAGTCACTTAAAACATGATGAGTCAGCCCATGGACTATAAGGCCAGATGTTGGCTAAGATTCAATAAACTTAAGATTTCAATAAACTGAAATATAAACTTTGTCTCAGAAACCTTATTAAACATGTTTACCAGTTTTATAGGCAGGAGAAAGCAGGCCAGGGTGTGGTCCAAGAATCTTCACCTAGAAGTCATCACTGGCCTCTTACCCCCACCCCAGCCACATACAGCAAACCACATCTGCCAGGGGCAGCCTCTTCCCACACAAGCCTTTGGCTTGTGCTGGAGGCCACGGTGGGTGGGAGGCCTGGATGGTCACTGAAGAGAGAGGGGACGGAGGGGACTCACTTGGCCAGACCAACCACACAGCGTGAAAAACCTTCTCAAGCTCAGATTCCTGAGGACTGTCCCTTGGGAAGACTGAGTTGAAACATGGTGACTGTAGACTGAGTGACTTCTACCATGAAGAGGGAGTGGGTGCAAGAGCATGGGGAAGCAGAAAGGAAAAGAAAATGAAGGACTGCTTGTCTTCTGTTCTTCCTCCTCACAGGGACAGGAGCCCCATGCAGAAAAGGACTGAGCATGGCCTATGGAAGTGAGGAGGCCTCCCAGGCCTTGAGGTGACAGCATCAAGGATAGACACGACAGACTGGCTTGGGCCTACCATGAGACACCCTGGAGGTGTCTATCTAGTCATAGTCTGGGAGCTTACGTCAAGATCCCATGGACCTGCAGTTATTATTATCTTTTTATGACCCCACAGGGAGAGGAAGTCTGGGGCACTCAGACCTACGGGTAACTCTTTACATCAGAAACTGATTAATCAGATATCCAAATATAAAGAAAAGAATCTCATAGCTGATTAAAAATTTTAGAAACAAAATCCAGGAAAAATATAAAATACAAAAGCTGTGATTCCTGCAGCACAGTGACTGGGTACATTGAATACACTTACCAGAATGTACTGTCACAAATTCATGACATTCAGAAGCTAACACAATGCCCAGTTATGGCAGGTGTGATAACAAATTTTTATGCCAATTTATCTGAGATAAAGTGCCTAGATAATAGTCAAGCATTGTTCTAGATGTTTCTGTAAAGGTATTTTTTTAGATGAGACTAACATTTAAGTCAGTGGACTTTCAGTAAAACAGACAACTCTCCACATATGGGCGAGCCTCATCTAATCAGTTGAAGGTCTTAAGAAAAATAAAATGAGATTTTCCTCCAAAGAAGAAAAAATTCTGCCTTCCGATGGGCTTTAAACTTGAAAGCAACCTCAGCTTCTTCCCTGGTTTCCAGCCTGCCCTGCAAATTTCATCCCTGCCAGCTGCACAATCATGTGAGGCAAACCCTTAAAGCAAATCTCTCTCTGTGTGCATGCATGCATGTATACATATATTTATATAGAGAGAGATGTATATGTAGATAGACATCTTGCTGGTTATGCTTTCTGAAGAACCCTGAGTAATACAGTGCACAAGATGACAGTACTGAATAAATTAATTCACTGAAGCTCTCACACACACACATACACAAAAACAAGAAGTCACCATCCTATAGAGCTAAAAGTTTAGACATCCAATTTCTACTTAGAACTAAAGCTCGGTTCACTGCATAAAAATGAATGATATTTAACCTGGAAAATCTTTGAAATACCCAAAGGATATCAATCAGTTAACACAATCTGCTTTTGAAAAGAAAGAAAAAAAAAGTCAGGAAAAGAACTGAAAAATGGCACAAAAAGTCACAGAGAATCAACTTAAAAATTAAGAATCAGAGTTTAGTGGGGCACCAGTGGCTCACACCTGAAATCCTAGCTACTCAGGAGGCAGAGATCAGGAGGATCACTGTTCAAAGCCAGCCCCAGTAAATAGTTCTCGAGACCCTACCTTGAAAAACCCATCACAAAAAGGGCTGATGGAGTGGCTCAAGGTGAAGGCCCTGAGTTCAAGCACCAGTACCGAAAAACAAACAAAAAAATCAGAGTTTATGACTGGAGAGGTGACTCGAGCGGTAGAGGACCTGCTTTGGAAGCGAAGCCCTGAGTTCAAGCTCCAGGTCCACCAAAAAAAAAAAAAAAGAATCAGAGTTTAGTAGCTTAATCATGTTCAAACGTTTCTTCCTGTAAAGGGCATTTACTTTGAGCTTTAGTTTATCCTCTCTGTGTTTTGATTACTAATTAATCCACTGAGAACAGTCCATCTTCTACATTCTCATTACTGGAAACTCTGGACAGGCACCAAACTCTAATCTATCTTTAAATATGTGTAAAGGATTTGCTCAAAGAGCAGGACCAACCATTAGCCCCTAATACAAGCACACAAAAGGGTAAAGGGACCAAGAGCTAGCTTTTAGCTTTTATCGCTCAAAAATTACTAGTACCTGTTTGACACCAGATCACTTGCTGTCTGGTTGATTTTCTTTCTACTTGCTGCAACACAGTTGCCTTATTTTCCCTTATTTTATCAATGAGCAAACACAGTCTGCTCACAGACTATGAGCAGAAATGAAGACTGTCTTGTTCATCTGGTCTCTAAGTCACAGGCAATATTTCATACACTCACATGCCCACAGGACACCGGCTGCTGTTTGAGGTTAAGCAGCCTCACAGAAAAGCCACTTAGTGTACAATGTTTTCTAACTTACTCCAAACTCTACAAGCTTCAGTTTCCCAGTCTGTAAATTAGGGTGATGATCCCTGATAGGGTTATTTGAGGATTAGAAGTGTTGGTGTGTATAAAGTGCTCAGAAAAGTACTTGGTACTTGCTAGTGTCTCTTAGTGCTGTTCCTTCTGATGAAACCACTACCTAAGGCATCAAGAAATCACACGAAGGCTCCACAGACCAGGGCAGGAGAAGAGAAACCTGCCAGGCCTCCTGAACTGTGCAGCGACCACCCCAAGTTTCCAGCATGGCAGTGGTGTCACCAATAGTGGTCATCGTCAGAAAGAGCTCTGGCACAGGCTGCACTTAGAGTGTGTAGAGAGCCACATCTGGTTTTGCTACTGAGCAGACAGCAGCTGTGGATGGCTCCCACTGATCTTTCCCAGCTGGGTACCTCCAGCCTCTTCTCTGTCTCCAGTCTTCTCAAGGTAAGACGCACAGCTGAGGATCGTTCCAACTGACCCCTCCCAGCTGAGCACATGCGCCCTCTTCTCTGTCTCCAGCCAAGGTAAGATGCAGAATAAAAACAAAAGCAAAAACCAGAAAACAGTATCTGAAGACTTCTCTCCCCGCACCCTTCTCTTTCTCAGCTTCAAGCCCTGGTGCATTAAGAGGCCAGAAACCTCCTCTGAATTCTGTTTTCCTGTGTCCAGCTACTTTAAGCAGGAAACATTTCACTTGGTTGGGGTCTACCCTGGGAGCAAAAGCCAGCTAGTCAATGAAATACCTGGTGGATGCAGATGCAAACAAAGTTCCTTAGTCAACATTCAGGAAAACAGGGTGAGCATTATACAGGGTTAACCTATCACCAAAAATTTTCCAAAGGGCTAGGCACCGCAGAAAGGAAGGAGGGGGCTCTTATGGTTCCCACTTGGATCACCCCTACCCATCCCTCCACTGCACTCACCGCAGGGAGCGTAGCGGTGCGTGGCACCCTGCACCTCTTTGCTGGTGTTCCTCATGGCCCGCGTTGTAAGCACTTCAGGAAGAGACAGACGTTGCTGAACCTGGGGCTCCTGGGTGAGCTGGGAGCTGCCAGCCTCACACCACTGGGAGCTGCAACTGCGGAGGCAAAGTCCGTGCCCTTGCTGCCTGTGCCCTCCTCCACCTGACACGCCTGCATGCGCCTCCTGACGGAGGACTTGCACATCCACACGGGGTACGCGGCGGGCCACACCAGACAGAGCAGGGGCGCACTGAGGGTACACAGCAGGTGCACTTGAGGCAGAGCAGGGCGCACTCAGCCGGTACACAGCCGAGTACATAGCAGGGGCACATCAGGCACAGCAATGCACAAAGGCCGAGCACACAGCAGGCCACGTCCATTCTGGGTACACAGCAAGGGCACATGCACGCAAGGGATACAGTAGGGGACATGTCACACCAGGTAAACAGCAGGGCTACATGCACGGCGGGGACACAGTAGGGGACATGTCACTCCGGGTAAACAGCAGGAGCACATGCACACCGGATGCACAGCAGGTGTATACTGGTATACCACAAGCAAACAAGGAAACAGGGTCCGCTATTTGCTCACCCTGTTGCAGTGACAGTGTGGTCCCCTCCCGCCCGCCGGGCTCACCCGCTAGCGAAGGGTCTGGGCGGCGTGGCTGTGGCGTCCACAGCTGAAGTTTGTTTTGCAGCGGGAGAGCGAGTGGGTACCAACCCGAAACTCCCAGCGCGACGCGGAACCACAACACCCTTCGTCGCCAGGGCAACGGCCCGGCGGCCAACCGGCGAGCGCAGCGGGAGTGCCTTCAGCCAATAGGAGCAGCCGCAGGAATGCGGCAAGCCAATCAGAGCCGAGGCAGGGCGCAGGCGCCATCTGTCAACCGCCAGGCGCCTGGGGCGGGGCCTCGTTGTTTGCTGGGGGGCGTGGTGAAACGTAGCGTGACGGGCGTGGCATAAAGGGGCAAAGCCAGACCAAGGTCCAGTGCTGCCCCCTTCCCCCCCACCCCCCGCTGAGAATGCCACTTGTTGCAAAACTATTGGAAACTAGGAGTATCTACCACGTTTCCAAGAAAGAGTAACTGTCTCACCTGAAAAAAGCAACAAAAACGCCAGCAGATAAAAATATAACTTGGTAAACTCATGCAGGAGTAATTATTCACCTAGTAAAAGGATATTTAATTTTGCAAGAAATTTGCTCATAAGTCATTCATTTTTTTAATGTATTACAAAAAAAAAGACTAATACGTGACTTGGTTAAAAATCAGCACATAGACATATCTGTCAATTTTTTTACTCAGTAGTAAATTTGTCATGTAAACCCTCTTTCTTAATGTCTTATTTTGGGGGAATATTCCTGTCTTTTGAGTTAGAAACCCTAAAATTTTTTTTTGGCTTTTGTTTTTTTGTTGTTTTGGATTGGGTTTTTTGTGTGTGTGTGTGTGTGCTACTAGGGTTTGAACTCAGGGGCTAATACTTGCCAGGTAGGCACTGTACCACTTAAGCCACTCTGCCAGCCCTTTTTGTGTTGGGTATTTTTGCAATTTTATTTTTATTTTTTGATGGAACTGGAATTTGGGCTCAGGGATTCACAGTTGCAAATGTGCTGGGTATTTTTGACAGTCTCCCTTTCATTTTGCTCTGGGTTGACCTTGAACCACAGTCCTCCTGATCTCTGCCTCCTGAGTAGCTAGGATTATAGGAATGAACCACCAGCCCCCAGCTTATGAAGTTCTTAACCCTATTGCTACCATACAGTGTTTAGCATTGTAAACCCTTGACCTAGATGTGAGGTTTTAGCCTTGCTGGGTTTGAGATCTACAAAAAGTATAATGATTACATTATGAATCATGCTGCACAGAAAATTGCCTGATGGCGCCAATGGGCAGTGACAGCTTTGGCACCTTTCAATATTACCCAGAAGACTTCATGCTAGCCTGGGCAGTTAATGGGGATAATTACTCAGAGATAACCCTTGTGAGAGCTGGGGATAAACTTTGAGAACCTTCAAAGAAATGTGGCTTCAATCCCTAGTATTGGGGGAAGGGAAGACCCTTCAAAGAAAATTGACTCCAACAGCAGAGGCAACCATAGCAGCCTTGATTTCCTCTTGTTGAAAAAAAGAAAAAAATCAAATCAAGACTTTTTATAATGGTGGGTATTTAGCAAAACAAAGTGTTGCTTCTGTTACACAAACATCGCCTTAGAAAAATAGCAGAAGGCAAGTAATGTAGGAACTGGTTAAAGAGAAGATAGTTTTGTAAGAGGAAATCACCCTAACTCTGTGTTTTATCCAGCTCTAATATAACAGGGTGATGAATTTGAACCATCAGCCAACCCAGTCACATAGGTCATAAGGACTTTATACTGCAGTGACACATATTTGTTTCCCTATATATAGAGGCACTTGGCTTATCATGCACACCACACAACAAAGTACCTCCATTCTGTAAGTCACAGCACCATCTGACTAGAGGATCATCGCTTCAAGAGTTTATTTTTAAAAGCAGCTGGTCTTCGGAAGTGGGGCTGTCCTGACTAGAGTATCTCCTTCTCACTTGGGCAAAGAAAAGTGTACAGAATTGACACAAGCTGCCAGCTTCCGTGCCAGCTGAAAGAAACCCTGAGTGGAGTGACAATGAGGACTGACCATTTCATAGAGGAATCCTTGACTTTAGGCATGTTATTGAAATTTTAGGTGCTTGCAGCTGACAGATCACATAAGAATCTAGGCAATGCTCCGTGCAAAGGAAAATGAGTAATCTATTTGGAGTGAGAAAAAGCTCATTGTTTATTTCCTGAACTTTATCACATGTATCTTTCTGTCACATCATGGCCTTCAGGATTTAGAAGGATCTAATGCCTCTTGATACATCTTCTTTTCCAGTGTCTCCAACCATACCTACAGACACATGATACCTGCTCCTTATAAGCATTGATTGTAAGAAAAGAAAAAAAAACTGTCTTTAAGTACATTTTTTTTTGGTGGCACTGGGGTTTGAACTCAGGCCCTCATGCTTGCTAGATAGGCACTCTACCAATTGAGAGCCCTCTACCACTTTGCCAGCCCTTTATTGCAATTTTTTTTTTTTTTGAGATAGGTCTTGTATACTATTTGCCTGGAGCTGGCTTCGAACCTTGATCCTCCTGATCTCTGCCTCCTAAGTAGCTAGGATTACAGGTGTGAGCCACCAGTGCCTGGCAAATTTCCATTTTTCTTAGCTTGCTGGCTTTTCCTTTTTGCCTGGTCTCTTGGTTTGCCCCATTGTTAACCAAAGCTGGTTTATGTAAACAACCAGTTTCTAAAGGCTGGAGGTGTGGCTTAAATGCTAGAGCACCTGCCTAGCAAGAGAGAGGTCCCAAGTCTAAACCTCATTACCGCCAAAAGTTTTGGGTTTTTTTTAATAAATTGTGCTAAACTCCTGGGACATGTCTTTGTTTTGTCCAATTCTGCCCCACCAGCATTCCCCATCTGTCCCAAGTAGCTAAATGGCCTGGTACAGTCCCTTCTCTCCAACTCATCCCAGCAGGTTCTATCTTTCCCTTAAGTTACGTCAGCATCCACGCCAGGTTTTCAGAAACTCCATGAATTTGCAAATTTTCTTTTTGAAGATAATTGAAATCATTAAAAGGCAAACTTTTCTTTTTGACATATATGATGGTTTTTTTTGGTGGTACTGGGGTTTGAACTAAGGACTTTGTGCTTGCTAGGCATATATTCTATCTCTTGAGCCACTCTGCCAGTCCTGTTTACAAATTTTAATATCACATAGCAGTTTGAGTCGTCCAGCTAGCCAGAGAAGCAAGGTCACTTGTCTATAAGCATGAAGAGGGACTGGATTTCTTTCTTTCTTTCTTTCTTTCTGTCTTTTTTGCAGTTGTGGGGTTTGAACTCAGGACCTCACGCTTGCTAGGCAGGTGCTCTACCACTTGAGCCACACTGCCATAAGGTCTCGCACACTATTTTGCTTAGGCTGGCCTCAAACTGTGCAATCCTATCCTCCTGATCTCTGCCTCCCTAGAAGCTAAGATTACAGGCATGAGCCACCAGCGCCCAGCAGTACCTGTCTTTTCTATATGTTCTGTTAAAGATTTGTCAATTTTATTTATCCTTGAAAAAAATTCAATCCAGATGCCAGTGGTTCACTACTATAATCCTAGCTACTAAGGAGGCTGAAATCAGGAGGACGGTAGTTTGAGGCCAGCCTGAACAGATAGTTCTCAAGACCCCATCTCCAAATTAAGTGGAGCAAAATGGACTGGAGGTGTGACTCACCTGGTTTGCAAGTGTGAAGCCCCGAGTTCAAATTCTAGTTCCACAAAAAAAAGATCAATGTTAGTTTTGCTGATCTCTATTGTTCTAATCTGTTTCATTTATTCCTGTCTGATGTTTGTGATTTCCTTCCTTCTGCTGATTTTGGACTTAGCTTATTCTTGTTTCTCGAGTTTATTGTGGCGTTATATTAGGAGAAAGTTGGTGTAAAGTTGCTTATTTGAGATCTTTATTTTTCTTAAGGTAGGCATTCTTTGTTGGAAAATTCTCTCCTAGGGCTGTTCTTGCTGTATCCCATAAGTTCTAGGGTTTTTGTTTGTTTATTTGTTTGTTGCAGTACTAGGGTTTAAACTCAGGTCCTCACACTTGAAGACAGGGGTTCTACCACTTCGGCCACTCCACCAGCCCTTTTTTGAGAGATGGGCACTCTACCCCTTGAGCCACACCTCCAGCCCTCTTTCATTGAGATGGGTATTTTCGAAATAGGTTCTCAAGAACTATTTGCCTGCGCTGGCTTTGAACCGCCATCCTCCTGATCTCTGCCTCCTGAGTAGCTAGGATTACAGGTGTGAGCCACCAGCACCATTCAAGTTTTAGTATTTTGTGTTTTTGTTTTTCTGTATGTCAAGAAATTTCTTTAAATTTCCATTTTGATTTCCTATTTGTCCCAGTGGCTGTTAAGAAATGTGTTTTTAAGGTTTCACTTGTGTGTGAATTAGCTAATTTTCCTCCTGTGTTGGTTTCTAATTTCATGCCATTGGGTTCAGAAAAACACTATTTTATGTGATGTCAGTGTCCTTCTATTTGTCACAGCTTTTGTGGTGGCCTAACATGACTTGGTCTGGAGGATATTGCATCCAGGAGCTTTCTTGAGGACTTCAGGACCTCTCAGGAGAGTGTATTCTGCTGCTAGCACATGGAGTGTGTGTGTTTGTGTATGTCTGGCCCCTTTGTCCCACAGTGTTGCTGTTACTCCAGCCTCTGTCTCCTTATTGACACTCTGTCTGCACCACCTATCCACTGCTGAAGTGGGGCACTGAAGGTTCCTACTATTGCTGTCTTTCTCTCCTCAGATGTATTGATATTTGCTATAGATGACAGATGGATAGATGGATGCATAGATACATAGATATGGAAGGTAAATTATTGACAAATGTTAGATAGATGATAAAGAGAGAGATAGATACATACATATACAGATAGATATGGATGATAAATAGATGCATAGCTACATGATAAATAGATACATGATAGATAGATAATAGATGATAGATGGATAGATAGATAGAGATAGACAGATAAGAGAGAGATTTTTCTAGTGTTGAACGCATATGTATTTATAGTTGTTACAACCTCTTGATGAATTCATGGCTTTATCATTTTACAGGGACCTTCTTTGTCTCCTGTAACTGATTTGAACATCTGTTTTTTAGAAGTCTAGGTACCTTGCTTTCTTTGGCTATTATTTCCATGGAATATATTTTCCTGTTCTTTTACTTTCAGTCTCTAAAAGTTCACATGGGTTTTGGGTAGACAGCTGTTGTGTGTCTTTTGGAGAGTTTAATCTGTTTACATTTCAATTAATTAGCGATGAAGGGAAACTTCTCTTGCAGTTACTACAGAACATCACTTAACTTGCAGAGTTCTGTTACAGAGTCAGGAATCGCCACCACAGTAATCATGAACGGCTTTAGTTCTCTGTTGCTTTCACCTGTGCAGAGTACATAACCCTTCAAACCTAACGTAACTGTACCTATTAAGAATTTCTTTGATGGTATTCCATGCACCTATTTGTAAAAGAACCATGCTCAGATGTTTTTGCCTCTGTAATGATAATAGCTGCTTTACTGTTTCACGACATTTGTTCATCTTTTACTCTACTGGCTTCTTGGCCTTAAGGGGACTCTTTTGAGTTCTAATTTAGGACTGTTAAGAAATAACCTCTGAAACATGATAATATTTAAATTTGTCTATGAAATTTGGTGATGTGGGAGAACTGGGGCAGGAAACTGAAATGGTTCCCATGGCGTGACGACTGAAAGGCAGGGTGATTCTTTATTGTTTAAACTATGGGTTTGTTTTTTTTTTCTTTCATTTAAATGGGCTAAGTTAAGTTTGTGCAGGGATTATTTTGAAATGAATAAAAATGGAGCTACATCAACCTGCAGTGAGCTTTGTTGACAGTACCCCTTTATTTTTATATAAATCTAATATTTTAAAAGTATGGATTATTATATAGAATAATTTTTGCTTCTTATTCTCACATTATATCATATATTTCACACTTCTATTTGAAAATAAGTATAAGACATGCCTGAAGCAAATCCTATGGATACTGTTTTTCCTTGAATGATTTATATAGCCACTGTTTTGTGATAACTGCTTTTGGAATCATAGGAAGTTTTGTGAAATATTGGCCTTGGGGATATCTTAGAATGCAAATTTAATAAAGTATATGTACATGCATAAAGAATTAATTAGCAAGAAGTAAGGACTTACAAACTTCTGTTTTATTATTCTCTGGCTGATTTGTACTTTTGTCTTCTTTGTGATTTTTTTCTATAGTGGTATGCTATGATTTGGTTTTTGCTATTTTTTAAAAATGTATCTACTAGAGTTTTTCTTGTGTGTGTTGTTACAATAGAACACATTATAGGGTATGATAATGAGCTATTTTAAGTTAGTGTCTTCTATTCCATACACCTACAGTTTGACTTCTTACATCTTTTTACACTATTAAGGTCACATTTTATATCTTCTTGCATTCTATATCCATTAACAAGTTGTTGGAGCTAGGAGTATTTTTCATCATTTCATTTTTTAATTTGTATGCTTGAGGTAAAAAAGATTTACCCACCACCTTTACAGTACTGCTGTATTCTGAGTTTGACTCTATATCTACCCCTTTACCAGCCACTTTAATATTTTCAAGTTCTTGCATAGCTACCTCTCATTTTAACTTGAAAATTCCTTTATTTATTTATTGGAGCAAGCTTTTTTTTCTCACTCCTTTGTTGAAGCGAGCTTTCTCTCGCTCCTAGTTATTACTGAACCTAACTGGAGCTAACTGGGGGCAACTGGAGATTCAGAAAGAACAAATGATAAGGTCCACACAACATTACAAGTAATGATGTTACCTTATCTGAGAATGTCTTTATGTCATTTCTTTTTTTTTTTTTTTTGCAGTACTGGGGCTTGAACTCAGGGTCTACACCTTGAGCCACCATCCCTTTTTTGTGATGTGTGTTTTTTTTTTTCAATCTTCCTGATCTCTGCCTCCTGAGTAGCTAGGATTACAGGTGTGAGCCACCAGTGCCCAGCATATCTCACTTATTTCTAAGGACAGTTTTGACTGTTAAAAGTATTCTTGGGTGACATCATTTTTTTCTTTTACCACTTTGAACATATCATCTCATTCTCTCCAAACCTGTAAAGTCACAGAACTGCTGCAGGGTGCACAGCTGAGACCAAGGTCAGCAGGTGTACAGATGAGCTCAGATGCCATTGAATCCCTGTGTGGCATAACTGCCTTCAAATCACAGCTGAGAGACTAGGGCAGAATCACACGCTCCTATCAGGACCTTCTAGGCAGTCAAAGTCATCTCAAGAGACTTGTGTTTGTCTCTTGCCAGGTGTCAGGTGTGCTGGATGCCCTCCCGCCCCAGATTAAGGCTGAGGGAATCTGGATTGCAGAGAAGCTGCAGGTTCTGCAGTTGGATGGCTGGCATTCTTGCCTGAGGCATACAGTGGAAGGGGCTATTGCTAGGTCACAGGCCACTTTAGTGTTCACATATGTACTGAGGTCAGTAGCCCTACATGTCTCCTCCCAGGAAGACAGTGGAGGTAGTAGAACCAAGGGCCTGTAGCCAAATCCACAAGGGAAAACACTGTTTCTGAGTCTTTAGCTGGAGCCATGGCCACTGATTCTGCTACCTGGGCATGGACCTGTCATGTCAGAATGGCCCTCCCCAGTCTTGGAGTCCACTGGAGTTTCACAACTTCCTACCTGGTTCTTAAAGTTCACCCAAAGGTACTTTTTCTCATGATGACTATGACATTATTTTTGCCCTTGGAGGGTATAAACAGAGGGACCTCTTGTTCTGCTGTCTTGCTGATGTCACTCCAAAAAACTTCACATTTTAAAATAGATCTAACCAAGATGTCATTAAGTGCTAAGAGTAAAATAACTATCATCTTAGAATCCCAAATCATTCCAACCTTCCATCCAGCAATTCCATTCTATGCTCATGCCTAGGAAGACCCTGTAATGTGTATACAAAAATGCTGACCATAACTTGTACTGCAAAAAGACTACAAACAATCTAAGTATACATCTATACAAACATGGGCAAGTGAATTTTGATATGTATATAATAAAAAGGCTACAGTGGTTCTAGCTACTCAGGAGGCAGAGATCAGGAGATGGAAGTTCAAAGCCAACCTGGGCAAATAGTTCACAAGACTCTATCTTGAAAAACCCCGTCATAAAAAAAGGGCTGGTGGAGTGGCTCAAGATGTAGGCCCTGAGCCTATCTCAGTACCTCAAAAAATGAGTATTCGTTTTTTTATGAGGTTAATATATCTCAAGATAGACAATGCTGAGGGTTGGCCAACTGGCTCAAGTAGTAGAGTGCCTACCCAGCAAGCACAAGGCCCTGACTTCAAACCTAGTGCCACCAAAAAGAAATCAAATAATGTTGAAAAAACATAGTAGCATATTATTTAAGCCTAAAGCATATTATGGATACATATATATGTAGTAAAATATTTTTACAATACAGGGAATTGGAATATGTCAATTTTCAGTTTGCAGTTTTCTATGGGGAAGAAAGAGGTATGTGATACCAGGAAATATTTGAATTTCTCCCATGTATTTCTGATTCTTTTTGGTGGCACTGAGGTATGAATTCAGGGCCTTATACTTGCTAGGCAGATATTCTACCACATGAGCCACTCCACCAGCCCTGTTTTGTACTGGGTATTTTCAAGATAGGGTTTCACTAACTATCTATCCGGGGCTGTCTTTGAACTGAGATCCTCCTAATCTCTGCCACCATAGCTAGGATTACAGGTGTGAGCCAGTAATTTTTTTTATTAAAAAAAAAGTGTTGAAATTGAAGCAACACAGAAAAACATCCAGATTTGCTATAACAAAGTAGTATGTCCACGAGGGATCTTCGTATATTTCAGTAGGTTTTAAATATGCCTACTAAAATTTAAAAATGAGGCATAGAGAGGTGGCTGTGTTTATAGCCACTGGATGGGTGTGGTGGCCTGCCTGCCATTATGAGGTGTCACAGATAATGATGTAATAGAAAAGTCATGGGCTTCTAAATGACCTCACTCACAGTTTTCCCTTAAAGGATACATGCCTGTGAAGGAAGAAGACAGAGCAAAACAAACCAGAAAGAGTTCATGGGTAGCTTCGTGCTTTCCATAAAATAGGAAGAGAAAATGGATGGTACTTGCCATTGGCCCAGCTCATTGCTACTCAGTGGGGGACAATGAGTGGAAGACCAAAGACAAAAAGGGGTGCACGGTTTTTTCGGAGTTGCCCTGAAGAACCCAGCAGCAGTTCAAGTAGCAATGTATTGCTAGCAGAGCAGGAAAACCCTGATGCAAATGGGTATGTAACCTTATAGAATGGCTTCCATAAGATTTTATGTTAAAAGAATCATGGATCACTCACAGCCAGGTTTTCTTCCTTTTTAGAGAAAATCGTTTCTAAAGAGTTCCTTTTCGCCGGGTGCTGGTGGCTCATACCTGTAATCCCAGCTACTCAGGAGGCAGAGATCAGGAGGATCTTGGTTCAAAGTCAGCCCAGGCAAATAGTTCATAAGACCCCATCTTGAAATAATCCATCTCAAAACAGGGTTGGTGGAGTGGCTTGTGTTCAAATCCTAGCATCTCCAGCAAAAAGAGAAGTGGGTTCCTCTCAAGCTTAATTTCCATCACAGTACTACACATCCTGTAGCAATGTCATTGTCTTTCTACATCAGTTGCATTTAGATTAATTACAAGGGACTGAGGACCAGGGGGATGAGTTTGAACTTGGGCCTCCTTTTTGCTAGGCAGGTGCTCTACCACCTGAGTCATGGCCCTGGCCCTTTTTGTCTTCATTATTTTTCAGATGGGGTCTCACAATTATGCCTGGGCAGCCTAGCCTGTGATCCTTCTGTTTACACTTTCCGTGTAGCCTAATGACAGGTGTGTCACCATGCCATGTTTTTATTGATTGAGATGTAGGCTCCCAAAGTTTTTGTCTGGGCTGGCCTCAAACTGTGATCCTCCCGATCTCTGCCTTCCAAGTATGCAGGATTACAGCAGTGAGCCACCACACTCAGCAGCGTCCTGTAAAACCCACAATGAACGCTGGGCAACACAGCCTCATGCCTGTATTCCTAGCTACTCGAGAGGCAGATGGGGAGGATCTTAATATGAGGCCATCCCAGGCAAGTTTGTGAGAACTTACCTCAAATCTACCCAGTACACAAAAAGGACTGGTGAGTGGCTCAAGTGGCAGAGCACCTGTGAAGCAAGGGTGAAGTCCTGAGTTCAAACCCCAGTACTGTCAAAAAAATAAATAAATAAATAAACCTTAGAGATGACTCACTTTTTCATCAGTGTGCTTCCTGTGCAGACTCGGGAGTGTGCAGAGCTAACACTGGGCTTCAGACTCTACACGCGGAAGCATTAGTTACACTCTTGGCTAAGAATAGTCTAAACAGACTGTTATTAGATACACATTTTGAGCCAATAGCTATGTTTCCTCTGGTAAGAACATTTTATATATAGCCTGAAAGGGACAGGTCCCTTGTCCTCTTGGATGGGCCAAATTTGCTGCCTGCTGGGAAAACAAAAACTGAGAATAATGAAATAACCATCTCAATATTAACCACAAATCACTTGCACCAGAAGAAACTTTCAATAGAAATTATAGGTTTGCTACCAAATTATCAGTACAAGAAGGATGGCATTTGAAAATCACAGTCAATACTTCGGTTTGCATGAGTTAAATGGTAGACTCTGAGCTGGCTGAGTGGCTCAAATGGGGGAGAACTGCCTTAGCAAGCATGAGGCCCTGAGATGAAACCCCAGTGCTGCCAAAAGAAAGAGAAACAAAGAAATGGCAGAATCCCACAGGCTAGGTGAGGCATTAAAGGAATGTTTGCAAAAAAAAAAAAAAAAGAATTAATCTTTGGTAGATGTGGTAGTATGATAATTTTCATTTACTTCAGCCCACTGAGAGGACATAATTAACCTGTAATTAAGGTTCTTTAGTCAGTGGACTCTCTCCCACTCCCCAGATGACCAATGATATTTTAAGGGGGCCTGGTGTCAAGGCAACACTTCCTGGGAGGTGAGTGACTTAGGAAATCTCTCTTCTTCCTAACTCTTAGCACTGTCCCCTAGCCTTGGCTGGCTGGTCACCATGAATGCCTAATGTAGGAGGAGATAAGTACATAATGATTCTATATCAGGGGACTTAAAGTCTCCCTGTGGTGACTGAACTGGAGTTTTTCAAAGCCTAATAACTGACATCTCAACTGGGCAAATCAGAAAGAGTAAATTTGTACAACGTTGACTCAACTAACGTCAAAGCATTAATATAAGTAATCTGTTTACTAATATTGAGCATAATGTTAAAGAAGTAAAATGCAAAGAAATACTCAGATCTAAATATGTATTATATCATTTGGACTTAAGATCACCTTTTTATTCAGTGGTGTTGGTCTCATGCTTGCTAGGCAGGTGCTCTATCACTTGAGTCAATCAGCCAACCTTTTTTTTTGAAGGATTTTTTGAAATAGGGTCTGACAAACTGTTTGCCTTGGTTGCATTCAAACCACAATCCTCCTGGCCTTTGCCTCCTGAGTAGCTAGGATTACAGGCGTGAGCCACCTGCGCCTGTCAGGATCACCTTCTTAATCATAGCTCAAGACCTGGACCAGGGAATTGTGTCTCTTTGTTGACAAAGACTAGTTCAGGACCAACAGGTGAAAATCGAAGAACACACTGTGGAGTGACTTGACATTCTGGAAGCACAAAACTAGGTACACCATGGAGGCAGGGATAGAGTCCAGGAGGATAGTTACCTTCCCAGGTGGAAGGGACAGGCACCAGAGGGTTGCTGATGGCTGGGTGTATTCTTCTGTGTGAGCCTCAATTGAAAAATACCACAGACTGGACAGCTTAAGCCAAGGGAATTTGTTTTCTTGGAGTCTGTAGCCTGGAAAGTCTGAGATCAAGGTCTAGTTGATTCAGTCTGTGGTGAGGGCTCTCTTCCACTGTGCCCGCACGTGGTTGTATTCTGTGTGCACACAGACAAAGAGCTACTGTAGTCTTTTCTTCTGATAAGGTCCCCAATCCACTAAACCAGTGCACTCTGATGAACTCATTGTCCTTACTCGTCTTCAGAAGATCCTGTCTTTATGGTAGCAGAGCAGGGCTTCAACATGGGAATTTGGGGCGGGGGTACACTTGAGAACATGGTGCTGAGAAAGAGGGGACATGGATGCATTCATTCTAAGAAAGTCCTTGGGCTATACAATTGTGATCCATGCACTTTTCTGTGTGTGTGCTACACTTCAACCCAAGGTGGGAAGAGGGTTATCATAACTTAAAAACGTATCAGATAATTTTTTACTTAATTCTTGTGTGTGTGTGTGTGTGTGTGTGTGTGTTTCTGTGCCTTGAACTCAGGGTCTGCACCTTGAGCCACTCCACCAGCCCTTTTTTGTTATGGGTATTTTTGAGATAGGGTCTCATGAACTATTTGCCTGGGCTGGCTTTGAACCATGATCCTCCTGATCTCTGCCTCCTGAGTAGCTAGGATTACAATCGTGAGCCACTAGCAATTGGTTTGACTTAATTCTTAAAACCAAATTTCTAAAAAAAAAAAAAACAACAAAGCCTGACTTTTCTTTCTTTTAGTTCATTCTGCAGGGGGGATTAGGACTAGGATTTTGAACTCAGGGCTTCACACTTACAATACAACAGGTGCTTTACCATTTGAGCCACACCTCCAGTCCACTTTGCCCTGGTCTCTTTGGATATGGGGTCTCAAGAACTATTTGACTCGGCTGGCCTTTAACCTTGATCCTTCAGATCTCAGCCTTAGGTGTGAGCCACTGGTGCACTCGTCATTCTACATTTGAGACCTCTGGAACACCTACCTATATTTTCTTATAAGCATTTGAAGAATATCGATAGGTATATAATAGCTTCATGTTCTCTCAAGTTTAAGGATAATGGGTTAGGAATTAAATTAATTCACACACTCAACCTAGAATAAGCAAGTTTGTTGGCTTGGGGTAGTGGTAAAGTCCAAGTTAAAGGTTAATAGTAATAAGTTACATTGTTGAATTTTCTTTATGGTTTTTATTCTTTGTAGGTTGATTCGATCATGGAAGGTTATCCTAAGTGTAGTGTTTACATTGGCTTTTCTTCTTGTTGGTAAGTCTTACTAATCCTATTTTACCTTAAATGTGATTCACAGGATATGGTGTGAAAGAGATCTCAGTGGAAAAACTCATATTTGTAGTGAAAAGTACACATAAAGCACAGAAGTGCTTGCTTTTGTCTTTTATCTCTGATAATAAAAGAGTACAACCTTTTATTTTGAGTTCACATCACTGATTTCTTAAATAGTGAAGTTTTTTTTTAATATTTGTTACTGTTGTGCTGGGTGTGGGGTACATTTTGTCATTTACAAAAGTTCTTGCAATATATCAAATACTGTCATACTTGAATTCATTCCCTTCACCAGTCTCTTTTATCTCCCCATACAACCTTTTCATAGAAGAATTAAAAGTACTCTTTTTTCATTGAATGCCATTTTGAAATCACAGATGTGTTAAAGTTAAGAATCCTTCATATATTTATTGCAAACACATTTTACATTTTCTAAATTTGGATGGCTCTGGTTGCAGGGGGGGATTTTGATAACGCAAATTCTTAGTCCCACATGGTTCCCAAAGATGTCACTGCTTTGACATTCTGTTTGTACATTCAGAATGGCCGATATCGTAAGTCACAACCCCTGGTACATTGGGAAATTTCTATTTAATATACTGACAATTTGAGGTGTGGAGTTCCCATTAAAATCAAGGTTTCAACTCAGTTATTTCCTTACAATAGTATTTTATAGTATGGTGCCATTCGGGTGCTATTTCTTTTTGATTACCTTCGACTATTACCTTAGCCTGACCTGCATCTACTCAGGGCCACTCCATCCATGACCTGCAGTTAGTGGGCTGGGAGAGTTCACCAGGGCAGCAAACCTCCCGGCTGGACCCTGAATGCACTGGGGTTTGAACTCAGGGCCTCACGCTTGCTAATCAACGCTCTACCACCTGAGCCGCTCTGCCAGTGCAATGTTCTGGTTTCTGAACTGTACACCTCTTGGCTTGATCTCTCTCCTGGATGTCTTTGCTTCATTTCTGTTGACTTTGACCCACTGGCTGCTGTTGCTGCTGTCCTGTCTGGTCATCCATGGCCCTAGCCCAGGCCTGTGAGCAGTGACACAAGCCTGCTTTTACCCGGTTTAGTCAGGAGCGCACCGCATGGGCAATAGGACTGTTTTATGTTCAGGAGTTTTCTCATTCTGGAAATTAAACCTCATATTCCCATGACATCTGTGTTACTCAGCTTTATATCACTGTGAAGAAATGCCTGAAATAATCAACAAAAAGAGGAAAGGTTTAATTGGGCCGTGGTGTAAGCAGTGTCAGCCACAGTCACGGAGCTTCTTTTTGAGCCTATGTAGCAATTCCTGGTGGGAGCCCATGGCTGAGAAGCTGCTGGTCTTGTGGTGGCCAGAAAGCAAAAGAAAGAGACAGGAAGAGGCTGGGGTCCCTATGTCCCTTCAGAAGTCACAGCCCCAGAAACCTAACTTTCTCCTTCTAGGCCCCACCTCTCAAAGGTTCCAGCACTCCTAAAAGCACCAAGCCTTTAACACAGGGGTGTCAGAGGAACACTTGGCCAAACCCTAGGAATGTCTTCCATACTCAGGATTGTCTCTAGCTTGTTTAAGTCTTTTGCCTTCTACTAAGCCAAACAACATCTTTTAAGATACATATTTAGCCAGCCCTGCTTTTTGTGATGGGTTTTTTGAGATGGGGGTCTCATGAACTGTTTGCCCTGGCTGAGTGCAAACCTCAGTCCTCCTGTTCTCTGCCTCCTGAGTGTCTGGGATTACAGATGTGAACCACCAGCACCCAGGGATGTATAAATGATTTAAACAGAATTTTAAATTCTGGCCTCTGATGCCTTTGCTCTTTACTGAGTTGAATTCATGTAATATGAAATTAGTCATTTACAAGTGACATCGAGCACTTCATGTTCCTACACACTTCTGTCCATTAAGAAGAAACATGTGTATCCAACAGTCAGTCCCTCTTCCCTCTCCTTAGACCCTGGCCACTACCAATCTTCTATCTGTCCTTTATCTATCATCTTCCTCCCTTCCTTCCTTCTTCTTTCCCTTCCTCTCTTTCCTTTCTTTCTACCTATTTACCACCTCCACACTTGGAAAAATCACTATTAATACATGTAAAATATTATCTATGTGTTATCTGTCCTCCATCCATACAACCTGTCCATCTGTCTATCTACCTACCTACCTACTATCAATCTAATCTTATTTTCCTATCACATTTCTTTCTTTATTTCTTCCTCTCTTTCTTTTTTTTCTTCCTACCTACCTACCTACCTACCTATGTATCTACCGATCTATCTGCTCCACACTTGGAGAAATCACTATTAATACATGTATAATAACTCATAAAAGTTCCAAGAGAAGGTCTTTAATCAGTTGGTCTTTTCTTTGACAGGGCTTCGAAATCATCAGTGGCTTAAGGAAGCAGAGTTTCCTCAGAAATCCAGGCAGTTATATGCCATAATTGCAGAGTATGGCTCACGGCTACATAATTACCAGGTGCTGTTTCATTAAGTTATTGTAACATGTCACTCATTTCAGTTTAATATGCTACAAGGTGAGTCCAGCCTGCACTGTATTTTCTCTGTTTTGTGTGAGAATGTCTGAAGAAATAATATAGGAGCTAGAATGCTTTTAAGTGATTACGGCTAAGAAGCCCTAAAAATTCTCTGTAGCCTTTTTTCCCTAAAGGTGCCCTAAGAGAGGGTGCACATAAGGGACCATGGCAAGTGAATCTTTTTTTTTGGGCAGACCTAGGGATTGAACTCAGGGCCTGGAGATTGCTAGGCAGATGCTCTACCACTTGAGCCAGACCTCCAGTCCATTTTGCTCTGGCTACTTTGGAGATGGGAGTCTTAAGAACTGTTTGCCTGGGCTGGCCTCAAACTGCTCTCCTCCTGATCTCAGCCTCCTAGGTAGTTAGGATTATAGGCATGAGCACCGGCACCTGGCTGCAAGTGAATCTTTATTGCTAGCCTTCCTGACACGCTGGTCAGTGTAGTTCTCCCCTTAGATCTCAGCGTTCTTAGACCGAAGAAACTGTCATTGAATGTCCTCCTCCTTCTGGTCCACCTCACCCCCTGGTCTTCCTCCCCAGCATTCTAGACTGAGCTGTGTCCAACCAGAAAAGACTAGAGGATGGAGGAACTACAGCCAGGTCAACACTACTCCACGAGTGCTTCTACCCATGTGCGGACCTTTCAGCACACAGTGACTCCACTCATGGACCTGACTGATGGCTGCACACTTCTTCCTGGCCTGTCCCCCAGGGCCTCTGAAATCCTCTACTTCCCAGTCCATCCGGCAGCTGCTTCACTCCAATGTGTCTTGCCACATGGAGTCCCTAAAGGAAGGAAATTGTACAAGTATGCTCCCTGCAGCTGCAGTAAGGAGCATTCTCCTGGGAGTTCCTAGATTGATAGCTGAAATCACTCCAAATCTTAGACACACTGATCTCTGCATATACTGAGAGTCTGTGAGCCTCAGATCCTTTACAAAAGGACAGCCATATGGAAACCCACAGGAGGGTCAGACTGAGATAACTCTTGCAGCACAGGTGTCCTCAGTGTGTTCACACCCATGCCCCAGGCCCTAGGAGCTGGGACCAGTTAGGTCATCCCCAGGAAAACAGCAATGAGATTCAAGTGGATCTTGGTGTCTCCAACTATTTCCTATTTGTGATGAACCCCCACTGTGATGGTTAACTTTATGTGTCACCTGACTCAACCCTGATACCCAGTACAGATGTAACAGTAGATATTTTTTAGTATGATGACATTTAAATCAATGGACTTTGAGAAAAGAAGATAACTCCCTCAAAGTGGTAGGTCTTATCTAATCAGTTGAAGATCTTGTGTGAGATTCCCACAAGAAAGGGAGTTGTCATTCATACTGTCTACAAACTCCAAACTACATCATGGACCATCTTCCCTGGGTCCCCAGCCTGTCATTTTACATGACAACTTCAGACTTGCTGGTCCCCACAATTGCCTGAGCCAGAATGTTTCTGATTTTTGGGATATCCTCACTAATACACTTGTAAATTTCTCTGGCAGGTTCTACCAGGCCCTAACATTGGGTGACCCCTCTGCCTACAATATTCTGCCCTAGATCCTAACAGGGGTGACTCCTTCCTGACATTCAGCCCAGCTCAAATCCCTCTTCATAGAGGCTTCTGTGTCCACTCAGAATACAGGTAGAGGGATTTCCTCATGTCACCTGTGTCTTACCTCAGACACTCGGGTTTTTTTTTTCGTTTGTTTTGTGGGACCAGGTTTTGAACTCAGGACTTCACACTTGCAAAGCAGGTGCTCTACCACTTGAGTCCACCTGAAGTTTGTCTTGGTCTGCTTTTTTGAAAATGGGGGGTCTTGGGAAGTATCTGCCATGGCTGGCCTTGAACCGCGATCCTCCCTAGCTCAGCCTCCCATGAAGCTAGGATTACAGTCATGAGCCACCAGTTCCTGGCTAACTCATTGATTTCTTTGCCAGCCCTCTTCCTGCCATCTCCCCCTCTTACTAAAATCTAATGAGCAAGAGAACTTTTCCACAGCTAAAACTGCCCACAGGCACAGGGGGTCTCCCGAAGTATCTCAATGAATGAAGGAATGAGCTGAGTGCTGTTAGCCCTCTGACTTTCAAAAAGCATTCTTTTCCTGCATCTCTCAGTTTTGGGCTGATCAACATCCTCAATGGTGTTTCCCTTTAAAATTGCCTAAGAGCCAGGTGCTGCTGGCTCACACCTATAATCCTAGCTACTCAGGAGACTGAGATCAGGAGGATCGTGGTTCGAAGCCAGCCCAGACAAATAGCTCAAGAAACCCTGTCTCAAATATTCCCAATACAAAAAGACAGGCTGGTGGAGTGGCTCAAGCCGTAGAGCACCTGCTTAAGAAGCGTGAGGCCCTGAGTTCAAACTGCAGTACCGCAAATAAAGAAAGAAAGAAATAGAAGTGCCTAAGGCAGGGCTGGGGTTATAGCTTTGTGGTAGTGTCTCTGCTTAGCCCTGGGTTCCATCCTCTGCCCTCAAAAAAAAGAAAAAAGAAAGCCGAAGGCTGTGTTTCTAAGGACAGTATTTTTCTTGATCTTGAGGTGGAGTTCCAGCCTGTTCATTTTTCATGTGGACAGGAGTTTTGTGGGAAACAGGTGGAGACTGGATATAACTATTTCTCAGTGAGACCTTGGTAGTTCCTGAGTTGTGTGCAGTAGGCAGTGGACAGTGTTTCATAGCTTACTTTCCTCCTTTTTCTTGTTTTTTGTTTTTGCAGTACTAGGGCTTGAACTCAGGGACTTCACCTTGAGTCACTCCACCAACCCTATTTTTTTGTGAAGGGTTTTGCAAACTTTTTGCCCGTGTCTGGCTTTGAACCGAAATCCTCCTGATCTCTGCCTCCTGAGCAGCTAGGATTACAGGCGTGAGCCACTGGTACCTGGAGCTTTCTTCTTCTTAATGACAGTTTTTTTTTCTCTCCCTCTCCCCCCTCCCCCTTGCTACCCAGCAGAAACTATTTTGCCCTTATCTCTAATTTTGTTGTAGAGAGTGTATAAGCAATAATAGGAAGGAACAAGGGTTTTTGCTGGTTGAGATAAGGATAGCTATACAGGGAGTTGACTCACATTGATTTTCTGTACGTGGGTGTTACCTTCTAGGTTAATTCTTTTTGATCGAACCTTTTCGCTAGTTCCTGGTCCCCTTTTCCTGTTGGCCTCAGTTGCTTTTAAGGTATCTGCTTTAGTTTCTCTGCGTTAAGGGCAACAAATGCTAGCTAATTTTTTAGGTGTCTTACCTATCCTCACCCCCTCTTGTGTGCTCTCGCTTTTATCATGTGCTCAAAGTCCAATCCCCTTGTTGTGTTTGTCCTTGATCTAATGTCCGCATATGAGGGAGAACATACGATTTTTGGTCTTTTGGGCCAGGCTAACCTCACTCAGAATGATGTTCTCCAATTCCATCCATTTACCAGCGAATGATAACATTTCGTTCTTCTTCATGGCTGCATAAAATTCCATTGTGTATAGATACCACATTTTCTTAATCCATTCATCAGTGGTGGGGCATCTTGGCTGTTTCCATAACTTGGCTATTGTGAATAATGCCGCAATAAACATGGGTGTGCAGGTGCCTCTGGAGTAACCTGTGTCACAGTCTTTTGGGTATATCCCCAAGAGTGATATTACTGGATCAAATGGTAGATCAATGTCTAGCTTTTTAAGTAGCCTCCAAATTTTTTTCCAGAGTGGTTGTATTAGTTTACATTCCCACCAACAGTGTAAGAGGGTTCCTTTTTCCCCGCATCCTCGCCAACACCTGTTGGTGGTGGTGTTGCTGATGATGGCAATTCTAACAGGGGTGAGGAGGAATCTTAGCGTGGTTTTAATTTGCATTTCCTTTATTGCTAGAGATGGAGAGCATTTTTTCATGTGTTTTTTGGCCATTTGAATTTCTTCTTTTGAGAAAGTTCTGTTTAGTTCACTTGCCCATTTCTTTATTGGCTCATTAGTTTTGGGAGAATTTAGTTTTTTAAGTTCCCTATATATTCTGGTTATCAGTCCTTTTTCTGATGTGTAGCTGGCAAATATTTTCTCCCACTCTGTGGGTATTCTCTTCAGTTTAGAGACCATTTCTTTTGATGAACAGAAGCTTTTTAGTTTTATGAGGTCCCATTTATCTATGCTATCTCTTAATTGCTGTGCTGCTGGGGTTCCATTGAGAAAGTTCTTACCTATGCCTACTAACTCCAGAGTATTTCCTACTCTTTCCTATATCAACTTTAGAGTTTGTGGTCTGATATTAAGATCCTTGATCCATTTTGAGTTAATATTGGTATAGGGTGATATACATGGATTAATGACAGTTTTTAAGCATGTCCCTTTGTCTTTATATTTTTATAGATAGCATTTATGGCTAATATTCAAGTAAATAACATATTTAGTGAATCTTTCTCAACAATTGGATTGTTTCTGGTTTTTCAATATTATAGGCATAAACATCCTTGTGGCTCAATTTTACACCAATCCTTTTATTATTTCTTTTGTTTTTGCACTGGGGGTACATTGTGACATTTATCAAAGTTCTTACAATGTACTATAGTTGAATTCACCTTCTCCATCATTCTCCTTTATCCTCTTCTTCCTTATTATACACTTCCAGAAGAAGGATGAACAAAGAATCTTCACAATTTAGAGCTGATCTGTTTATATTGAAACTTAGTGACTCATACAGATTTTTTCTGGGGCGGGTGTGGTTAACGGGGCTTGAACTCAGGGCCTATTCCTTGAGCCATTCCATCAGCCCCTTTTTTGTGTGTGATGGGTTTTTTCGAGATAGGGTCTTGATCACTATTTGCCTTGGCTGGCTTCAAGCTGCAATCCTCCTGATCTCTGCCTCCTGAATAGCTAGGATTACAGGCATGAGCACCAGCATCCAGCTTTGATACAGATTTTGAAAAAGGAGCAGGATAGATAGGTGGGGAGACAGCTCAACACCAGCACAGGATTTATAATTCAGGAAGGAGCCCTGCGGAGCTGGTCCCCAGCAAGAGAGCTGGAGCCCCCAGCCGCTTACAGACTGGAGGTAGATATAGGAGGTGTGTGGAGAAGTCCCTGGATGGTTAAGGGGCAGGAAAATCCTTAGGCCCTCTGACCCTCCCTAGACAACGGCTTAAGGGTGGGTCATTCCTTCTAGGCCAGGTGGGGAATTTCTAGTAAATGGCTAAAGGTGAATGTATATGGTTTTTAGGGCCAGGTGGAGAGTTTCCAGTCAGTCACCTTCAAGATGGAGGAGGTCCAGTTCAAAAGGCTTTCTTTTGTTCACCCTAACAAGCTATGCATCAGAAGGAATTCTAATTATATTAAATGCATGTTTCCCTTTATTTTCTTCAAAATGAGCCTTGAATATAAGACTATTCCTAGCTGGGCACTGGTGGCTCACACCTGTCATCCTAGCTACTCAGGAGGCAGAGATCAGGAGGATCGAAGTTCGAAGCCAGCCCCAGTAAATAGTTTGTGGGACCCTATCTTGAAAATACCCATGACAAAAAAGGTTGGCAGAATGGCTCAAAGTGAAGGCCCTAAGAAGCTACTTTAAGGCAATGAAGTATAGCAGCCTGAGGTTGCCCAGCCATAGACTCTCCAACTGAAATCAGAACCCAGATTGGCTGAGACCTGACCTGTGTCCACTCCCTGCTGTACACTGAGGACCGAGATTTATTGTCACACAAAGCTTAGTCATGGCCATTCAAGAGCAGTGATTTCAAATTACCTGCTTCAGCATTTAATTGGCTTATATCTAAAATTCTATATTAAGCAGCGAGCTTAATTGTTTACCCAGGAGCACAGACTGCTATCTTCTCTTCAGGAAATTAAATGATTTAAAATTAGATGTCTCAATGGGTTTTGCTGAAATTTTTTTTCTTTTTGGTGGTACTGGGATTTGAATTCAAGGCCTTCACCTTGAGCCATTCCACCTGCCCTTTTTTGTGATGGGTTTTTTTCTGAGATAGGGTCTTGCAAACTATTTGCCAGGCTGGCTTCGATCAGCGATCCTCCTGATCTGTGCCTCCTGAGTAGCTAGGATTACAGGCATGAGCCACCGGTGCCTGGCTGCTGAAAAAAAATTTAATAGCTGTATGGCCAAAAAAACTCAGCTTACTGAATTTGTCCCAGCTAAATTACCGGAGCAGTGTTCCGAGGCATAACTATTCAGACACAGACAACATTATCTTTAAAAAGCAAGACAGAAGGCAAAGGAAGGCATGGTTTTGTCCCTGAGTATCTCTTGGCTATCTCCTCCTGTCCCTTCCTTCCTCAGGAGGTTATAGGTCCTATCCGTGCTCACTTGGCTACACATTCAGACAGTCTCCCATACTCCTTAGGGAGGATTGGCCGAAGGGGTTCTGTCAGGAGCCTGTTGCAAAACCAGTATTCTTGGAGGATGTGCCATTGTAATGAAGGTGGGGTCAGCCTGACCCTTGATGAGGCTTTTCCTGTCTGAGGTCTTACCACACTGACAGCCCACAGGGAGGAGTGTGCAAGGTTCTCAGCAAACCAGACACCAACCTTCTAGGAATTTAAGGCATACATATATTTCAGCCTCACCATCCTTTCAGTATTGTCTTTCTTTTCTCTTCATTTTTATGTACCCATTGGTTTTGTGCTACATGTTTTTATACTGTGTGTTTGAATTCTCTAATTTATTAGCACATCAATTAAAGAACATTTGCTATAGTCGTTTTTGGGGGAGAGTGATGGTACTGGGGTTTGAACTCAGGCCCTCACACTTACTAGGCAGGTGCTCTATCACTTGAGCCACTCCACCAGCCTTTTTTTGTGATGGGTTTTTTCAAGATAGGGTCTCATGAACTATTTGCCCTGGCTGGCTTTCAACCTTGATCTTCCCAGTCTCTGCCTCCTGAGTAGCTGATATTACAGGCATGAGCCACCAGCACCTAGCCTCTATAGTTTTTTGTTTTGTTTTTGCAAAGCAGCAGCAAAGTTTTATTGAAAGTAAAAGCAGAGAAAAGTGAAGGCAAAATAAAATGAGGTGGGGAAAAACTCTGGCCAGATGGCCCAAGAGTGCTGATTTTTTTTTTTCTTTTCCTGTGCTGGGGTTTGAACTCAGGGCTTCATGCTTGCAAAGCAGGTGTTGTACTGATTGAGCCACACCTCCAGTCCATTTTGCTTTTGTGAACTATTTGCCCAGGCTGGCTTCGAACCTCAATTCTCCTGGTCTCTGCCTCCTGAGTAGTGAGGATTACAGGCATGAGCCACTAGTGCCTGGCCTGTTTTATTTATTTATTTTTATTCATATGTGCACTCTATAGTTCTTTGAAGGCAAGAACAGGACACAGAAATGAATTGGAAGCCCTGAATCTGCTGGCCAAGAACATTCTCAAACGGAAACTTAGAAACAAAGTTGGGTGCCAGAGGCTCACTTCCATAATCCTGGCTACTTAAGAGGCAGAGATCAGGAGGATCACAGCCAAAGCCAGCCAGGCAAAGAGTTTGCAAGGCCCTATCTCAATAAAACCCATCATAAAAAAGGGCTGGTGGAGTGGCTCAAGGTGAAGGCCCTGAGTTCAAACCCCAGTACCACAAAAAAAAAAAAAAAAGTCAAAGACAGACTATAAGAAGTTAAATTGCTCAGCAGAAAAAAACAAAACAAAGAACACAATTTTTTTCTATGTGCCACGCTGTGTTCACTCTGGTGCCTTGTTCCATGTTACACATGTTTACAGCATTGTAAAACACCCCTAAGCAGTGCACCGTTTGGGGCAGGAGCTGGATTTCTTTGCAAAAGCATTATGTCCTCAATGTACCATGTGTGGTGCTGGGGATGGGAGCCAGGGCCTCCCGAATGCAAGGCAGTGCTGAAAACGCTGACTTTTATTCTACAACTTACCTGTGGAGTTGTGTGCAATTTGAGCTGGTGAGACCCAAATGGTACAACTAGAAAGATTGGAGGGGAGTAGACTTCTTTCTGTAAAATCACTGCGTTCCACTGGGGTTCTCCTGGGATCAGGTCATCCTTTCACCTTCTCCCCTTGTGTGACCAGCCTGCACACTCTGTTGTTTCCCACGCTCTAGTCTTTTTCCCCTCTTTTTCTCTGTACACATTAGGAAATGATACTGACCCTCTCTGAGCTTTTGTGTTACAGCAGATGCTCAGTATGTTAGTGTTTGTGCCTGTGTATATGTAAGTATATCTGTGTACAAGTGTACGTGTGAGAATATGTGCATGAATGTATACGTACACTTGCATGTGAGTGTGTGTGCATGTGAGTGTGAGTGCATGTGTGCATTTCTGTGTATGCATGAATGTACATGTGTGCATGTGAGTGTATGCATGTTTCTTACTGACCACAGGCAGATGGGGAAGCTTCAGGATGCTCCAAGGCCAGTGATCCTAGGGTTTCTGAAATGTGAGCACTAGCCACTGTCATATGCAGGGAGCCTGAAGACAGCAGATGAGCCCATGAGCACACAGGTCCTGGCCATCCTGGTGGAGGAAGTGGCAGGGGGCTGCTCCTGCAGGCCTGGAGGGCAGAGATTTCACCACACATTCATGTCTCTTTACTGATGCCTCCACGTGGCCCTGTGGCAACATGGTGACATTATTTCCACCTCTCTTCTTATCTTGGCTGGAGCATGTGCTCAGACATGAGATCTCCCTACCTTGTCAGTGTTTGACAACACTTCTGATTGTCACTGCTAATATAACCCATGGTGATTACCTCCTTTTTGTTAGGAAAGAAGCCCCACTTTGTTTACCAGGACAAGCGTAAAAGGCTCAGCACGGCCCTCAGCTATCACTGTCTGCTGCCTGAGCTGTTTCAGATCAGCCAGAGACCAACCCTGCTCCCCGCTCTTTGTTCCTCCCCTCCCTCCTCCTCCCTGCTCCTCCCACTTCAGACTCTGTTTGGCACTTTCACCATCTTGAGAAACAGGCAGAGATGTCTGCATCTTAGAGCTCCTGTTGAACGATCCTCTTTATTAAAAAGATCTGTGATGCCTGATGCTGGTGGCTCACGCCTGTAAGCCTAGCTGCTTGAGAGGCTGAGATCGGGAGGATTGAGGTTCGAGGCTGAGATTGGGAGGATTGAGGTTCAAGACCAGCCCTGGCAAATAGTTCTCAAGCCCCTGTCTCCAAAATAACCACAGCAAAATGGACTGGAGGTGTGGCTCAAGTGTGCCTGTTTTGCAAGCATGAAGCCCTGAGTTCAAACCCCAGTCCCACCAAGAAAAGGCAAAATTTGTGTTTCTTAGACTTCTCATATATGATAACTATGTCAGCTGAGGCCCCTAGAGGATGCTCCTGGGTCACATGGTGTATTTTTAGAAGGGTGAGGGGGAAGAAGAATGATGCAGGGGGGAGTCTAACCCAGGTACATTGTAAGCATGTAGGATGTCACAATGAAACCACATGCACAACTAACATGTAATAAAAATGTTTAAAAAGAAAAGAAAAGAAAGACAACTGGTCCTGGGCAGGCAGGAGTCAGAGTAAGCTCTCCTCTCCTTTTTCCAGGCCAGACTTCGAATGCCTAAGGAGCATCTGGAGCTTTTGAAGTGAGTAAGATTTTCTGCTGTGTGTCACTTGCTGGGGTGGTTCAAAATGCTGAAGTTTTATAAAATTATAAAACTAAAAGAGTTTCTTCATAATGTTATTCCTTTCTGCTTCATGATAGACAAGAGCATTTTTTTCTTAAGCCATTGCTTTTTGTCTACCATAAGAAGGCAGATTTGCTTAAAATAGCATATAGAACTTGGCATGGTGGTGCACACTTATAATCCCATCATTGAGGCAGGAGGATCACAAGTTTGAGGCCAGCCTGTGCTACTTAACAAAACCCTGTCCAAAACAAATAGATGAATAAGTTAATAAAACAGCAGATGTACATAAGTGAAAAAAGGCACTTTTTTTTATTAAAGGCAGTTTTCTTAGGCCATTTCCTTTTTCTGCCAAATTCAAATAAAACTAAGCATACTGTTTTTATTTTTTAAGTAATAAATTATACTGTATTGTAAGTGGTAAAAAGTCAACAATTTTGAGGAACATATATTTAGAAGTAGGCATGAGAATGCTGAAAAAAATCACTGTGAAAAAATTGATTCCAAAAACAAAGAAAAATACAATTAGACACACATTTAAGTGTTACCCTCCACATACAAGAATACTCATTAATAACAGATGATATGTAAATCTAGTTGTACATTTTGACTTTTACAAAAGTTCTTACATTATATTATACTTGAAGTCACCCCTCCATCATTCTCCTTTATCCTCTCTCCCCCAATCCTGGAATAGTTTCAATAGGTCTCATTTTTCCATTTTCATACATGAGTACATAATATTCCACCACATTCATTTTCCTACACCCTTTCCTCATATCCTCCCCCTCCCACTGTTGCCAACCCCCAGACAGGACCTTTTCCACCCTTCTGGTCTATGATTTTGTAAAAGAAAAAAAATATGACACTTTTGTTTAAGATAGCTACACAGGGAGTTTCCTTGTGATATTTCCATGTATATAAAAGCATACTGTTTTTAAATTAAAAATAATATATACAGATTGATTCACACCTGACCCCTTAATCTTCCCTCTTTTTTCCTCTCCTTCTTCTTTCCTTCCCATCTGCACACACACAGGAGTTCTAGGGGTGATGTCACCAGATATGAATGTTGGTGAGTTCAGGAGTGAAATTATGAGGAATTTTCTTTCTTGTACTTTTCTGTATCTCTTGATTATTTTTCTTTACAGTGAGCATGTACCTTTAAGTTGAAACAACATTTGTACTACTTTAAGAAATAATGAGCTCATATATATTTCTGCTTCTATGCATCATTCCTTGAGGACATTTACCCTGGTTGGGCTTTCAATATTAATGATAATAAAAAAGATAAAAATAGGTAACGATCACATACGTTACACTTTATACCTTGAATGGGGAATTACAAATCATTTTAAAATTTATTTCTGGCTTTGAGAGTGTTTGGGGCACAGAATGACAAATTTGATCACTATTTTGTGACTGGAATAGGGATTATTAGGAATGTGCCAAAATTTAGTAGTGTTTATCTCTTTGAAATGTTTGTATTTTCCCAATTTTATTTACTTACTTATTTGTGGTACTGGGACTTGAACTCAGGGCCTACATCTTGAGCCACTCCACCAGCCCTATTTTTTTGTGAAGCGTTTTTCAAGATAGGGTCTCATGGAACTATTTGCCCTGGCTGGCTTTGAACCGTGATCCTCCTGATCTCTGCCTCTTGAGTAGCTAGGATTACAGGTGTGAGCCACTGGTGCCCAGCTTAAACATGTATTGTAAAATTTGGGGAAAAATACTAGACCAGTAGTGATTATTTTTCTCAATGTAAAAAAATACTGGGCTGCTGGTGTGACTCAAGTGGTAGAGTATCTGCCTAGCAAGCGTGAGTCCCTGAGTTCAAACCCTAGTACTACAAAAGAAAGAAAGAAAGAAAGAAAGAAAGAAAGAAATGTGTGCTCGGTATTTTCTTAGTTCCCTTGTGAATAATTTTCAAACTTTCCAAGTAGTACAGTGCATTCTTGGAAAGACAGTCCCTCACAGTCAGACTGGAAAACTAGCAAAAGCCAGCCAGCCCACTCTGCCCAAGGCACTTCCCCTGCAACTCCAGGCCACAGTTTGAAAACCATGCTGTGTTTGACATGCAAGGCATTCCCATTAAAGGGGGTGATGATGGGGATTTAGGATTCCCATGTGTGAACTCCCCCACCTGAGGGACAAGCCAGGTTGACTGAACCCTGCCTACTCCATTTGGAGCCCAGCCCAGCCCAGCACCTGGACACCCTCAAAATGCATCCCCAAACAACTTTGCTGTTTGTAGATAGTGAGATGTGCTGCTGAAGACAAACACACAGCACCTGCTGTCCCCTTCCTGGAGAATTTATTCCTTCCATGATGTAAAACTCCTCTGCTGGCTCTGAAACCCATGATGGGAAAGCCACACCTTCCTCTTTCACCCTGTGGTTCTCCGTGTACAGGAAAGAGAGCCAGACACTGGAGAACAATTTTCGTGAAATTCTGCTTTTAATTGAACAAATCGATGTTCTGAAGGTAGTGCTTAGAGACATGAAGGATGGCACACACAACCATAGCTGGGCTCTGCACGGAGAGGCCGAGGAGGACCAGGACAGCACGGAGGTGCTAGACGAGGCAAGTTGGGCCTTGGATGGAGGGCAGGTGGCATTGGGACAGTGTGACCTTGGCTGCCAATCCCGTTCCTCCACTGCATGCAAAGCCCACTGACACCTGGCTTGTGTCCTCTTTGGGATTCAACCCAACACTGGCTTTCTTTCACTACAGCTAGTCCTTGGAAACTCACTCCATCAGTGCTGTGGCACAGAATTGACATCGTATCACAATATGACTTACTTCCCACCAGAATAAATTACTGATTCTGTTTCATTATATAGTTTTTTTTTTAAAGGGAGGGGTCATTCAGAAATGGCAGTCTCCAGACTGGTGCAGTGGCTCACACCTCTAATAGTAGCTACTCAGGAGGCAGAGATTGGAAGGATTAAGGTTTAAAGCCATCCCAGGGAGTGGGAGAGTTAGTGAAACCCCATCTCAACTAATAAAATCTGGGAATGGCATTTTGTGCCTGTCACCCAGTTATATGGGAAGCACAAATAAGAGGATCTCTGGGCCTTGACCCTAAAAGTGGTGGAGGTGTGGCTCAAGAGGTGGACCCCTGTCTAGCAAGTGCAAGGTCCTGAATTCAAACCCCAGTACCACCTAAAAAAAAGAAAAAAAAAAAAAAGAAGTAGCAGTCGCTGAATGTCTACATACAAATACTAAATAGCAAGTGATTTTTGTTCCCATGTCAGAGCTATGCCTACGGCACAGTCAGCACCAGAGTTAGGCGATGTTAGGACAAAGCAAGGCTTTGCCTCTCTTTCATGGCAACTACCATCACTACTGTTTTGTTCCCTTCCTAAAGGTCTACATTTTGAAATGTACAGAAGTCTGATACTGACCTCCTCCTGCCTTCCCTGCCCAGTTTGTACTTGTCACTGTGATGGTGTTACAGTTAAGTCGGTGACAACCTAAGCTACTATGCCTGCATGTGGAATTGCTTATTTGTGAATCAGTGTTCTTCAGAACCCAAGGTTAAGCTGGGCTCTGCTGGTTCACACCTGAAATCATAGGTACTCGGGAGGCAGAGATCTGAAAGATCCCAGTTCAAGGCTAGCCCGGGCAAATAGTTCCTGACACCCTGTCTTGAAAATACCCAACACAAAAAACAAGGCTAGTGGAATAACTCAAGTGATTGGGTGCCTGCCTAGCAAGCATGAGGCCCTGAGTTCAAACTTCAGTGCTACCAAAAAAAGGAACTCGATATAAATTCAAGTGGATGAAAATTTGTAAAGCAAGCAATCGTCTAGCCTTTGTAAAGTGCCTGATTCTCAAATAACTCTAGCATGCTCCAGTCTTTATTGCTAAAAGTATAGGATACCAGGTGAGGACACAGCCACTCACATGTCACAACCCCATCTCACTTCCCTTCACTGGAAAGCACTATCGGTCAGTGTTTTGGTTAGGGCTTTGGAAGGGGCATGGGGAGATCCTTAACATAGCTTTGCTTTGGTCCTTCATAAGCCTTAGAAGGGCCCCTCCCAGAGAGCCGTGAAGGTAACAGTACAAACCCAGGTATAGAGAGCAGTGTGGGAGGTGTTCTGAGTGCTGTCATTTTATAGATCAGATTGTATGTTAAGTCACATCCATAGAGGGAATAGTCAAAACTGAAGCTGTTGGTTGAAATTGTTAAAAAAAAAAAAATGTTTACAATCATTACAGGAAATGTCAAACTTAGTACATTATGTACTTAAAAAGCTGAGAGGGGACCAAGTACAGATGGCTGATTATGCCCTGAAGTCAGCTGGTGAGTATAAAGAAGGTGAAAAATGAGTGCAAAGACATTTTTTAAAAAGGAATGCTTGGGCTGGAGGAGTGGCTCAAGTGGTAGAGCGCCTGCTTAGCAAGTGTGAGTCCCTGAGTTCAAACCCCAGTACCACCAAATTAAAAAAAAAAAAGAAAAGGAATGTTTTATTACAAACATATATTTACCCATATGGTAACATCAGATTGCAAAATTAATAAATCTACATAATAAATAAAAACAATTAAAAACAATTGTCTTGCCAGGCGCCGGTGACTCACGCCTGTAATCTTCACTACTCAGGAGGCAGAGATCAGGAGGATCAAGGTTCAAAGCCAACCTGGGTGAATAGTTCAGAACACCCTATGTGGAAAAAAATCCATCACAAAAAAAAGGCTGATGGAGTGGCTCAAGGTGGAGGCCCTTAGTTCAAGCCCCAGTACCACAAAAAAGAAAAGAAAAGAAATAAGAAATGGTTGTCTTGATTGCTTTTTGAATACAATGTCAGAGGGCACAAAAGCTGCAGCCTCATAACCCTGGATGTAAAAGTACCACAGAGAGGACTGGAGGAGTGGCTCAAGCCTTAATAAAGCCTGCCTAGCAAGCATAAGGCCCTGAGTTTAAAATCCATACCGCCAAAAAAAAAAAAAAAAGTGCCACAAAAAAAGCTGAGATGCCACAGTGAGGTTAGGGAGGGAGAAAATATTTTAAGCATAGCAAACATTTTATGTGATTGCATAAAATGATGCCTCACAAGGAAGCTAAATGCATTGTTAGTGATTATTAAATGGCAGTGTTTAAGGGCTATTTACAAAGTCACATTCATAATATCTTCCAACTAAATTTAATTCTTAAGAGCTTAGGCTGTCAATCATTAACCTTTATATCCACAATACCCAGCCAGCAATAAATATTTAACAAGCAAGGGAGACAAAAGAAGGGAGACAGAATTTTTTTGGAGAACATGTATTTTATTTATGCAGTCAGTTGCACTGTAGAGTGATTACGGTATACTTTTATAATAAACAGTGTGAGGAAACTCTGAGTGTATGTACATACATAGCAACTAACAGATGAGCCTCAAATTCTCAAATTCACTCAACATCACTACTCTATACAAAGTTAAAAATACATAGAAACCTGATTTTTTTTTTTAAAACCATGACCGTTAACTGAAACATATCAAAATGCACAGCCATACAGCACATGACGACTACAGAGTCTCTAGTCACTTAGTCTGGGTATAATTTCTGACAAAAATTGAATAGAAGTGAATACCATAAATTCTAGAATAAGCAATGGAATAGCAATGAAATATTTTCTTTCCAAAAAGTACACTTAACCTGTATATCTGGACGAACCTATGCAAAAGTCTAAATATACAGTACAGTTCCTTCAGCTCTATAGACCATCAGCAGGAAGGGCATCACTCTCCTGTGAAAACAAATATCATGAACTCCAGCTGTTTAGAGAAAACAAAATTTTTTACAAAACAGAAGACACGGCACCAGGAGTATAATCTGGGTAGCAGCTGAGAGGGTAGGAGTAGGAGACTAAGTATAAAACTGAAAAGCACTGAATTCAGGATAGAGGGAAGACTGACTGCCAGGTGCAGCTCCAGCCCCACAACTATTTAAGGGAAACAACCCAAGTGCAAGGAGCTCCAAGAAATACTGTTCTGTGAAGTACTGTCTCTTCCACCTTGTGTTTCAAACCAGGCAGTATAATTCTTAGTTCACTTAGTTGGTAAATTTCCGTTATTATATTTAAAATATTTGCAAACTTGAAACTCCTACATTAAACAACAAAAACCCTGAGAAGTGAGACACACAGTATCAGGACTATGTTTTCATGAGTTATAAAGTATACCAGTGGAATTTAGGAATTTGATGCAGATTTTATTATACTAGTATTATTATTTTGGTGGTATGGGGTTTGAACTCAGGTCTTTACACTTGCTAGGCAGGCACTCTACCACTTGAGCTACTCCACCAGCCCCAGACTTCATTATTATTGTAATTATTCAGCATTTAATACAAATTATAGAAATCTGAATGTGAAGAAAATTCAATCAAAGAAATTAAATGAAACTCATCTATTTTATACCATTTAAATCTTTGACATTAAAATGTCATAAATAAGTGTAACTCTTCAAAAAGTTGATTATTAGAGGTGAATGTACCTCACAGAATTTTTCTCTTACTCTTAACTTGCTTCAACTCAGGCTGGAGCTCTTCCTATACCCATTCCACTTAAGTCACATTTCTGAATCTACTTGAAAGAAAGCAAGTGTAGGAAGGCATTTTCCAGGCCCTTACTGAAGTTGCTGTGCATGGACAGAGCAATCTGGGAGGGACATTGACGAATCTCTCTCTTAGCAGAAAGCCCATAGGCTTGGTGGTCGTTCAAAAGCTTATCCAGGGCTGGGCACCTGTGGTTCATACCTGTAATCCTAGCTACTCAGGAGGCAGAGATCAGGAGGATCATGGTTTGAAGCCAGCCCTAGGCAAATAGTTCCTGAGACTCTGTCTTGAAAAAATCTATCACAAAAAAAAGGGCTGGTGGAGTGGTTCAAGATGTAGGTCCTGAGTTCCAACCCTAGGAGCACAAAAAAGCTTATCCAGCTGCTCAAACATGCTCTTTTCACAGTTCTCACAGAAGCTTAGAACCAGCTCTTTAATTTGTTCAGCACACTGGATACCATTTCTTTCAGTTAAATTTAAAAGGCTTATGAAAGCAAATATCTCATCTTCATCACTGTCTTCTGACACATTCATTTGTTTGATCACACTTCCAAAACAGTTCTGTTGAATTAAGAGGTCTGTTAGTTCTGCAGTGTTCACAGGAGTCTTCAGGAAAAGCTGCTGCACTCATTTCTTAATTCTGCCATAATTGTTATCTGAGATGGAATAAGCTTCCAACTCAATAATCACTTCCTCATCAACAGTGTAGCTTCTTCATCACTGTCTTCATCTTCCTCCTTCACTTCATCTTCCTCTTCCTCATCGTGCTTGACAGGGGCTCCCGGTGACTCTGGGACTCCAGTTCCATGGCTCACTGCTTATCTCTGGACGCCATGTTGCTGGCCACCAGGGAGAGAGAACTGAGAGGAAATGGGCTAAGTTCTTGAAATACACAAATGACCAAAAGCATTCATAAAGATGTGAATAGCCTACATTTATTAGAGTAGGTTTCTTTTAACATACCAAAACCTTTTGAAAAAGAACAGTCCAGGGTTGAGGGGTGTAGCTCAGTGACCGAGCGCTTGCCTAGCATACAAAAGGCCCTGAGTTCAGTCATCAGCATTGCAATAAATAAATAAATACATAGATCGATAAATAGCTAAGTAGATAGATAAACAAATACAAAACTCCAAGCCCTTCTTATCATTATATAATGTCCTTAACAAAATATTGGCAAATTAAATTCAGAATACTTAATACACCACCGTTAAGTAGGGTTTCTCTTAGGAAGTTAAGGCTGGTTGAGCCTTTGAAAATACTTCAACAGATTAACACATTTGATCATCTGATTATCAAACGAGGGCCACTGAAGTCATTTAACAAAATTTAATCCATGTGGATACAACCTCTTAACAAAAAAAGAGATTTTCCTTGGCCTGAAAAAGGATGCCTGAAAAATTCCTTCAGCTAGCATCATTTATGTTTGAGAGACTGAGTGGCTTCCCCCTAAATTCACAAATAAAACAAGATGCCTAACTTTCACCATTCCTGGTCAACTCTAACGAAATCACAACCAACAAGGCAAGACAGTCAGTGTTATGGCTTGAGTATGAAATGGCCCCCACAGGTTAATATGTTAAATGCTTGGAGCCCGGCTGGTGGCCCTATTTAGGGAAGTTCTGAAGGTTTTAGGAGGTGGGGCCTAGCTGGAGGAAGTAAGTCACTGGAGGGGGGACCTTGGGGGTATTTTGTCCTTGGCCAAAACCTTATCTGCTTCCTTTCTGCCATGATGTGAGCTGATTTGCTCTGCCACTGACTCCCACCACCATGATGTTCTCCCCAAGTGTTTTGGGATAGGTAGCCAATGGACTGAATCAGCTGAACAAATGGGCCAAAATACCTCTTTCTTCCCTTTAACTTACATCACAGTGACATCACCGTGACAAGTAATAGGAAAACAAAATAAAATGGGAGAGAGAGAGGACAGTGGTGGTGGTGGGGGGGGTGAAACACAGAGAGAGAGAGGGAGATGCAAATTTGGAATGAAGAAATAAAAATTGCTTGAAGCCAGGCTCAAGCCTGTAATCCTAGTTACTCAAGAGGCAGAAATATGGAGCATTGTGGTTCAAAGCCAGGCCAGACAAAAAGTAAAGAAGACCCCATCTCAACCAATGGCTGGTGCATTTGTGTCTGTCATCCCAGATAGGCACAAATAAGAAGGTCTCTGTCCAGGCTTGCTCCAGCATAAAAGAAGAGCCTGTCTCCAAAATAACCAGAGCAAAAAGAGCTGGAGGTATGGCCTAAGTGGTAGAGTGTCTACCTAGCAAGTGCAAAACCCTGACTTCAAACTTAGGTACCGCCAAAAAAAATCAAGGATCCAGCCAGGTGCCAGTGGGTCATGACTATAATCCTAGCTACTCAGGAGGCAGAGAGCAGGAGGATTGGGTTTGAAGCCAGCCTGGGCAAATAGTCTGAGAGACCTTATCTTGAAAAAAAAAATCATGGAAGCAATGCTAGGAATCTCTCTGTATAGCTCTCCTTATCTCAACTAGCAAAAACGCTACAACTTTCTTATTATTGCTTATACTTTCTCTTCAACAAAATTAGAGATAAGAGCAGAACAGGTTCTGCCTGGAAGCAAGAGGGTAGGGGGAAGAAATGGCCCAAACAATGTATGCACATGTGAATAAATGAATAAAAAAAAAATCACAAAAAAGGGCTGGTGGAGTAGCTCAAGGTGTAGGCCCCAAGTTCATGCCCCAGTACCACCACCAAAAAAAAAAAAAAAAGAGTCAAGCATCCAATAAAACTTGTGCTGATGGCTGCACAACTCTGAAAATACTAAAAAAAAATCACTGAATTGTACACTTTAAATGGGTGAATTAGAGGGTTGTGTGTAACTTATATCTCAATAAAGTTGATTAAAACTAAGAGGATGAAAAATTAAGTGAGTTATTTTAAAACATCACAATCTTTTCTTAAAAAAAAATCTGAATTTTTTTTAAATGATTATGGGAGGTGGTTAGTCCTTACATTAACACATGAGATTTCCTCACAACATTTTAGCTGAGTAGGAATATTAATTGACAGTATCAGCCTCCAAAAACAAGGTATGTATAGGATTTGCAGATAACAGATGTCAATCTGGGCAAAGTGCCTCAAGCTTGGTAGAGCGCCTGCTTAGCAAGTGTGAAGCCCTGGATTCAAACCCAGTCCCACCAAAAATTAATAATAATAATAATAATAAAGGATACCTAGTTACATTTGAATTTTAGACAAATAGCAAATAATTTCTAGGGTAAATATTTCGAACAATTGTATGAGACATGAATACTCCTAGAAAATTATTCGTTATCTGAAGTTCAAATTTAAATGGGACTTCAATTGTTACTTGCTGAATGTGACGATTCTATGTACACACTTACTATTTCAAATTGTGTTATCTCAGTAACAGTTCTTGCAATCATATATTCTGTCAAACAGAAGGGCTTTTGGTGCTATGCTGTGTTGCTCAAGTGACATTTGAGGAAGTGATTTGCATTTTTTTATTTCTCATTTCTGCTTCTAAAATGAAGTAACCCAAAAGGATTATATTTGATAAATATATTTTATGTTTGTCTGATTCAAATTAAAGTTCCCACAGAAATTAAAGTTCAGCAAGTCTGTGTCATTGCTATTGTAAATATAACTTGAAGGACACTTTAGACATTTGTTGGGTTTCTCCGTTGTTTGTTTTTGAGTGAACAGGGCTGACAAAAGTCTCATCATTAAAATATGAGCTGCAAATACTGTTGGATGATAAAGAGCATTCCTGCATATGAATTCCAGCTTTAATTCAGTTGTGCCATTATTTCATTTTTTATCACAAATCAGTTTCAGAAATGTTGTGAAAATATACAAAGTAAACATGATTTTCTCAAAATGACAGCATTTCAGGGGTAATGAAGACCACCATGCTTTTCCTGTTGATTCCTCTTTGGGGTGGGTGGCACTGGGGTTTGAACTCAGACCTCATACTTGCAAGGCAGGGGCTCTATCACTTGAGCCACTCTACCAGCCCCCTTTTTTCCCCTACTGATTCCTGGGTATGAATTTTACCTTGTTAAAAATTTTACCAGTAACAGTTTTCCAAGATCAATCTTAAAATCCAAGTGATATATTTTTGAAATGTATATGTCATTTTTATTTTAAAAACTTTTATAATTTTAGGAGCCTCCATCATTGAAGCAGGAACCTCAGAAACTTACAAAAATAACAGAGCAAAACTGTACTGGCACGGGATAGGTTTCCTAAATTATGAAATGCCTCCAGATATTATTCTTCAGGTAAAAGTAAGATGAAGAATAACCCTTTTCTCATCTAGCATTTTGTTATTATTTATCATGAAAAATGTTAGTTCTTAAAATGAAAGCAATAGAAGCATAACCAAACTTGTTACAGAAGCTGACATCTTGTGTTTTCATAATCATTACACCCCATGAATTATTTCTTATTTTGTGGTCAGAAAATTATGGTTGACTAATTATTATTTAAAGATCAGCAGACACAACTACTTGCTTGTCAGGACATAGACTTTCCACATCTTTCATACAAGTTATTTCTATAGACTTTGTATTCCACTCCAAATTTCATTCATTAAACATTTGTGGAAAGTGCTTGGTCAGTAAGTGCCAGTGTTATGCTAAGTGCTATTCCAGTCGCGTGTTCTTACTAAGTCTAATAATAACAGGAGAAATTTCCAAATAAGGTTTTCACATAACCTTTTAGTTTAATTCCTGAGGCACCAGAGAGTAGAGCACTTCTTAACTACAATCTGCCATCTGAAGTTGGTTTCACATTTCAAAGTACCTTCAGGAACAAACCCACCATCTCATACCAGGCTCTAGTTTAGATCTAGAAAGTCATAGCCTCAATTTTCTTCTTTATCACCAGGACCAACACCATCACCATTATCATCCCCTTACCATCACCACCACCACTACTATGGCTTCCACCTTAACTACCATTGTGTCAATCAATCATCACTACCATTGCCATGATAGCCACCATCATTATCACCATCAACATCATCACTATCGTCACCACCATCTCCACTACCATCACTACCTTCACCATCATCACCAAATCATGACCGTCTCCACCATCATCACAACCATCACCACACATCACCAGCACCTCCACTGCTACATTACCACCATCTCCACCATCCTCACTACCACTGCCATCATTGTTGTCACCAGCACCATCAGCACCACCACCACTCATACACTCTAGCTGCCTTCCCACAACTCAATTAGAGCAATGAAAGAAAAGTTGCTTATACATTAAGAGGTCTGATTGATAGAAGCATAAAATACACTGGAAGAACAACCAAACCCAGGGATATTTTGGAAGTTTTTCTATTTGATTTGTGTTATTGAACAATGCCTTTATACTGTAGTCATAATAGAGCTCAGTGATCAGTGGTGATTAGCTGGCCAGTATTGTGGGGTGGACATATACATCTGGAGAAGAGGTTAACTCATTGTTTTCTTTCCAGCCAGATGTCCACCCTGGAAAGTGCTGGGCCTTCCCAGGGTCCCAGGGTCATGCCCTAATCAAGCTTGCCAGGAAAATCATACCAACGGCAGTAACCATGGAACACATCTCAGAGAAGGTGTCGCCCTCAGGAAACATCTCCAGTGCACCCAGGGAGTTTTCTGTCTTTGTGAGAAGCCATCTAAATCTGTCATTCAGAAGGGTTGCGATAGAGGTGGTTGGCTAGGAATTAGGAACTAGACTCCTATCTTAAATGTACATGTAACTAGTTGGGATCTTGCTTTGTTATCTACAAAGCAAGGTTTGGACTAGATGGTTTCAATTGCTTAATTGATGTTTTTACTTTTTATCAAAGTTATATGTGTGCAACTAAAAAGTCAGATATTTCCATAAACTTTGTGATACACTGTGCCACTTCTCCCTGCCCCCAATTCTTACTGGAAGCTTCCACTTGCAATAATTTTGGCTGTTCATTTGGGTATTGGCTTCCATATTTTCTTTTAAACATCATTCTGTGATTTTTCAGTTTTGATTATTCTCCAGTGGAAAATGAAGATTAGCTCTCTTCCATGGTTCTGTCTGTCCTTAAAATATCTTTATGTATTGCTTAAAAAACAGGTTTATGAAGATGTAATTCACCTAATCCCTAATTCACCCTTTTGAAGTGCACTCTCCAGTGGTTTTTAGAATATGCACTGGATTGTATCTATACTTCCATCAACTATACAATATTTTACTCCCCCCAAAATAAAGTCCACATCTCTTCACTTTCATCTCTTTCACCCATCACACCCCCACCCCCTGACATCTACTTCTTATCTCCACAAATCCTACCATGGAAATCTTATGTAAATGCAAGCATATAATGTGGGGTCTTTAGTGAAAGACTTCTTTCATTTAGCAATGTGGTTTCAAAGTTCATCCTAATACCCTGCCCCTGGTGTACACACAAAATATCTGGTGGATTGTTTCTACTTGAACAAATATGTACATTTATTTTAACAAAGCATCCATTCCTTACAGCCTCCATATCTCTTTCTTTATACAGGGTATCATGAAAAGATGTGAAGGAGAAGAAATTTTCCTAGGTCAGTTTATCTATAACAAAACAGAAACCACCGTCCAGACATTTGAACTCCAGGTAACATGTGCCCTGGGAAAGGATGTATCTGACGCCATCACTGGAAGGGATTTGCTGGGGTTGTTGTATGAGAAGTGCTGGGTGACAATAATTAGGACAAAAGCATGAGCTAAGCAGGGCGCATCACAACCTCAGCTCTTTGCTCCATATTCTTTCATGGATTTTAGTTCACGTCAATTTCCAAGTCAAACTCGTCTCATCTCCACCCTCTATCATTTTTCCTACATATGGTTTCTCTCTCTGCCCCCATATATACATATAAATATATTTTCCCTTCTTTTCATCCTTCTTTTCTTCCTCCTTCCCTCCCCCCTCCTTCCTTCCCACCCTCCCTCCTTTCTTCCTTCCTTCCTCCCTCCCTCCCTCCCTTCTGCTTCTCTTCCTTCCCTCCCTCCTTTCTTTTCTTTCTTCCTTCCTTTCTCCCCCTCCCTTCTCCCTCCCTCCCTCCCTCCCTCCCTCCCTTCCTTTCTCTTTTTTCTTTTGCCATGCCAGGGATGAAACCAGCTTCTAGCACACACTGAGCTACATCTGCAGCCCTTCAGTCCTTCCCTTTACTGTCCAGTTCCCTGGTGCTATTAGTTTGAGAGTCACTAGTTCGTCTTCCTTGGGTAAAAGAGCTGAGGATGATGCTGCAGTGTGAGGTGAATGGAAGCAGTATGGAACTCACTCAGAGGAAGAAAGGATATTTAATACCAGATCATATAAGTAAAAATTCTCTTCCTAACTCAATGGGAAAAAAATACCGACCATGAACTTTCAAACTTCTTGAAACTCACTCAGGTAAGTTAAGGAGCCATAGGAAGTAACTGAAGAAGTGCAGGGAGCAAGAATAAGTATTTGACCCTTCTTGATCAATGGTGAGAAAAATCTAAGCCAAAAACAGTGCTGTCAGCTCTTCATACACTCTTTACATCCACAGGCCCAACCAACTGCCAACTGAAAATATTTGGAAAAACAATTGCTTCACTCTAAATGTGTGCAGATGTTTATTTTTCTTGTCAGTATATCTTAAACAATATAGTACACAACTACCTACACAGCGTTTGAATTGTGCTAGGTGGTATAAATAGAGATGAGTTAAGTATATGGAAGGATTATGTAGGATGCAAATACTGTTAGAAATATCTTTAAGATATTGGGGTATCATGAGAGAGAGATGACACAACTCAGTAGTCAACAAGCAAAATTTACTTCTGCAGAAGGATGTGCCACAGACAAAAAGAAAGCACAGCCAGCAGCCAGCTTGCTGAGGTTTTTGATTCTCACAAATCCTACGTCATTTTATATAAAAGAGTTGAGCATTCACGAATTTGGTATCAGCAGAGGATCTGGGAGATAACCTCCTGCAGATAGCAGGGATCGATTTAAGTTTTAGAAATGAGCATATTTGTAGAGTTTCATATTTGATTGTGTATTCATATGCATTTGGGCTCATATATTTTGAGTTTTGTTTGTATGTTTATTTGTTTTTGGTTTTTGGTGATACTGGGGTTTGAACTCACAGCTTCACACTTGCTAGGCAGGTGCTTTACCATTTGAGCCACTCTGCCAGCCCTTTTTTGTGATAAGTATTTTCGAGATCAGGTCTCTCGAACTAGTTGTCTTAGGCAGGCTTTGAACCACGCTCCTCCTGATCTCTGTCTCCTGAGTAGCTAGGATTATAGGTGTGAGCCACCAGTGCCCAGCCTCCTGAATGTTTGCTTTTTGACACAGGGTCTCACTATGTAGCCCAGGCCGCCTTTGAACTCAGAGTCCTCCTGTCTCATGACTGTTTCCAAGTACTGGGACTGCAGGCATGTATCACCATTTGTTTATGTATTTAGTTTCATAGGGCTGGCACCAGTAGCTCATGCCTGTAATCTTGGCTACTTGAGAGCCAGAGATTAGGAGGTTTGTAGTTCAAAGCCAGCCCTGGGCAAATAGTTCAAGAGATCCTATACACCCCCCCCAAAAAAAAAACCACAAAAAAGGACTGGTGGAGTGGCTCAAGAGGTAGAGCACTGCCTAGCAAGTGTGAGGCCCTAAGTTCAAACTCCCAGTCTTGTCAAAAAACCAAAAAAACCGCCTTCCAGTTGGCTTCATAGATCTGGTTTTCATATAACAAAGATTCTCCCCACTCCCAGAAATAGGCAGCAAGGAGCACTGAGGAGGTGAGACTGCAGCAGTGAGAGTCACTTGGATATCTGGGCTGCCATCTTGTTTTCCTTCCCCTCTAGTTGTCTGTTTATGAGCTCTTTCCCACCAGTATTCATTTTCTTACCCTTTACACCAGGATTTGAAAATACTTCTTAGGGAGGAAAGAAAGTTTTAATTTGTCATTATATCAGCATTCCTTGGGATCCTTTGAGATGAATTCCTTTATAAGGCAATAATTTTTTTCTTCTTTTCTTTACTTTCAGCATGAACTTTCTGAATCATTGCTATGTGTGAAACTTAAAATCCTTAGCAACTGGGGACACCTGAAGTATACTTGTTTGTACCGGTTCAGGGTCCACGGTGTCCCCAGTGATGAGACGTAAGGGGAGCTTGTGCAAGAGGCAGTGACTGCGTGGTCAGAAGATTCAAGGATCCTATTCCCTTAGGTTAGACTGTACCCCTAAGAATAGAAACTTGGGAGTGGGGGGGAAACCTCAAAGTGGTTTCTACTTGCCAATAAAAAGTAGATGAATTTTACTAATAAAATATGAAAGTCAGTTCAACCTCCTGGTGGTAGTTTAGCTTATAAGGATGCATCATGCTGCTAAAGCCATGAGAGTGAGTTTGTGTTTGGAAAAAGATGGTCTTACTCATCAGTCATGCTTCTGCACCTTCATTTATTCATCTCCTATGCCAGGAACAATGTCCTCTGTTGTTATCACTGATCTGGAAGTACTGGCCAATGTGATTAGAGACAATTTTTAAATTAGAGGTAAAAATTAGCAAGGCATTCTGGCCATGACTATTTGTGGACTATATGATGCATTCTTGAACTGCAATAAAGTCTCTTTTTTAAAAAATTACAATCAATTTAACAGTAGTAAGTTGATTGATCCAAAGTTACCATGTGCAAACCAAGTTCATCCATCAATACAGACCACAACCAGTGAGTATAATTTACAAAAGCCACAAGGAAGATAATGAACATGAGATAGAAGAAGGAAGTGACATGCTTATGTGAAGAAAAACCCCAAACAGCAGCAAACAACTAACTACAAGAACATTTCAGTATATGACAGTATAGGCCATGACAATGACAGGAAGATTCAGCTATCAAAACAACCATCCTCCTAAGCTAATTTAGAGATGTAATTGATCTCAACTAAAAGCTGGGGAAATTATGGTATTTATGAGGAAGAATTATTGTTGATGGAACTAGGGGTGTAGCTCAGTGGTAGAGAGCTTGCCTAACATGTGTGAGGCTCTGTGTTCCATCTCCAGTACTGCAAAAAACAAAATTATTTTAAAAAATTGGTAGGTATCTGAGAATGGTATTGCTATTTTGTTTAAAAAAATTCTTTTGACTTATATGCTTAAATATTTACAGAAAAAAATGATATATATGGGATCTTTTTCAAATAATGAAAGAGTCTTTGCTCCCTTTTCCTGCATGGGCAACAGGAAGTGTTTCTCTTTCTCTCCCCCCAACTTCTCCATACTTTATCCTTTTAAACTAAAATAAATTCTTGATAAAACTTAAAAAAATGGTGAAAGAGGAGATGAATGGGAAGATGGGTAAGAAAAGATCAGACATGACATGGTGGTTGAAGTTGGATACCATCCATGGGGGGTCATTATGGCATTCTGTCTACACACACATGTGGTTTGGGAGATTAAAATGCACATCTGTATTTTAAAAACTCCAAAGGAAGGAGAAGGGAGGATGTGGGGAAAGGGTGTAGGAGGGTGAATATGGTAGAATATTATGCACTCATGTATGGAAATGGAAAAATGAGATCTGTTGAAACTGTTCCAAGAATGGGGGGAGGAGGGATAAAGGAGAATGATGGAGGGGTGAATTTAACTGATATATTATAAGAACTTTTGTAAATCCACAATGTACCCCCAGTACAACAATAAAAAAAAATTCAAAGGAGTGTGTTTTAGACTAACTTGATTCTAAACTTCATATTGAAATTACACGCCTAGTAAAACCCCAGGAAACCTCTGGAAAAAAATATATCAGCAAAGGAAAAAAGCTGTATGACATACATATAAAACAAAATTAAATCCATGTGGTGCTGGCACATTGAGAGATCAATGGAGCAGACGAGTCCAAATGTAGAGTGGTTCTATGTGTGGATTTGGTAAATCATAAAGGTGGCATCTCAAATGACATGGTGTCTTAGCCCATTTTCCCTACTAATAGCACAGGACTGAGTAGTTAGAGATAAAAGAGGCTTACTTCAGCCCTCAGTTCTGTTCCAAAGTCAAGAGGATACCTTTGTTAATGGGCTTTTTATTGGCCAAATCCCAAGACACTGGGCATGACATGTTGAGATAGGATGCTCCAGAGACATAGCCAAAGTGGCTTTTATTGCAGACCTAACTCTTGAGATACCCCCTCTTGCATGAATCTGTTAGCCAAATGAGTGGGTTAATCCATCCATGGGAAAAGAGCCCCAATATCTCTTCATGGTTCCATCTCTTAATAGTGATTACATGTCAACGTAAATTTGGGTAGGCCAAACCATACTCAAATCCTAGCATATAAGAAAAGTAAAACACATGATTTGGGATAATTAAATTGTCATTAAGAAAATAAAATTACATACACACTTGTCAGTTGGTAACATGATAAACTCCCAATATAATAACATAGTAAAGATTTACAAAAGGGTAATGAGAACCCAGAAAAATACTAATAAAATAAAACTTATAGTACAAGAGCTTTGAAAAATGGCATAAGATTAACAAAATGCCTGGAAAACAGAGCTGTTGGTGAAACCAATGCCTTTAGACTTCATCTGAGGAGTGAAGGCTTTGCAGTCATTGAGGATCTAAGAAAAGGTCTTCAGGGCTGGCAGAGTGGCTCAAGTGGTAGAGCACCTGCCTAGCAAATGTGAGGTCCTGGGTTCAAACCTCAGTGCAGCCAAAAAAAAATATCTATGTATATCTATATATATATACATTTGACGATATGAAGGCCTTTATATCTCCAGAAAAGGCCTTCATATCGTCAAATGTAAATTCAGACGTGTCTCTGGCTGCCACGTGGAGGATGGACCACAGAAGCCCAGGAGTAGGTGTGGGGAGGTCAGTTAGGGAGTTATTGAAATAGTCCAGATGTAGATAACAGAATGGAGGAAAGTAAAAAGCCTGTTAGGAGGGGATCCATTCTGAGTCACAACTACAGTTCTCAGAGTAAATAAGTCAGTTGCTTTGAGCTATCAAAATGCAAGTCAGTCTTGCAAGCATCTTTAGCTTGTTAAAGCAGCCCCCCTCCTTCCACCTAGCTGGGTGTGCATTCTCCAACACTTGACACAGTCAGCCTCCTTGGTGCAGGCAATGACAGTGTTAGCACAAAAGGCAACCTTTTGTGTTCCCTTGGCCCTCCCTCCTTTGGGAACAGAGCATGAAATTCTATGTCTACTGGTGGAACTTTATTCCAGTGGGGATGCTGTGAATGCACGGCGCTGGTTGGAAATCTGGGCGTGTAGGTTGTAATCAGTTTTTTTGTTGTTCGTTTTTGGTGGCACTGGGGTTTGAACTCAGGGCCTCTCACGCTTGCTAGGCAGGCACTCTGCCATTTGAGCCATTCCACCAGCTTGATCAGTTTCAAGCTAACAAGCTCTATGATCTTGGACAGTTCTAGCAAAGAATAGGACAGGCCCTCCACCTTATGCAGTGAAAGAGGGACAGGATTATTACAAAAATACAAGAAGACCATGAAATGCAACGACCGGAAATGAAAATATAGCCAGTTCTCATGAGAATAGAACCAAGGGCCAGAAAGCTATACTCAAGCCATGCATATGCTCAGTTTGGCTGCTCCAACAGCAGCCAGGCTCCTGTCAAGGTTGGTTAATGACCCCACGTCCCCCACACCTCCTGTATCCATGTCCCATGGTGATGTGACATTGCTGCTCCCCCACTCAGAGGTGTCTTTCAATTTCATGTCTTAAAAGTTCCTTATCATGTGATATTAAAAAGCTGGGGACATCCTGCCACTCACAGGGCACATGTTAAAGACAGCATGTGTTCTTGTGCAAACCCACCACCATCTCCTTATCTGTCACACACCAAGCCAGTCTTGGCCCTGTCCTAAATCACCCAGGACCAGTTACCAGATGAGAAAACACCTTGATTGATACCCCAGAGTCCTCTGCATCATTCTAACTAGCCAATCATAGGCAGTTTGCCCTGTGCCATCTTGGCTCTGGGCTCCTCCCACTCCCCTGCTGCTATGTCTACCTTCTGACCAAACCCGACACTTGCCTGTGTGTTGTGTCATGCTCTCTGCTCTTAGGAAATGTAATGGAAATCCTTTTCATGGCATTTGGCCCATCCCTCTCTATGGTATCACTCAGTCTCAGCTATAAGTTTAAATGCTGACGTAACTGAGACAAGCCTGTTCCTCCAACCCCTAGCCTGGCTCAAGGCTTGTGCTCATCAGTTCATGTGACAAGAGCAATTTTGTAAGGGGTTTCTGTAACAGCCTTAAGAGACCTTGTGACTTCCATCTACCCTCTCCTTGGGCCACTTCCCAAGAGTACCTTGGTCAAAGCTGGATTGGCCTGCTGGAGGATGACAGGGTCCAGGAGGTTGAATGTTGAACCAGCATTCAACACTGGTTTTCAAACATAAGTGAAGCCTCCCGAGACCTTCCCCACTGGCTTGCTAGGTGCAGTCTCCTGGCAAAACCAGCAGAGGGGCCACCTAGCCCATGCCTTGTAAGTCCCTGCAGAAGTCACATGTCTTGAGGGAGTGGTCACTGATAGACACCCGATTTTCTGATTGATACAATTTCTCAGATTTTTTTTTTCAGCACTGGGGTTTGAACTCATGCTTGCTAGGCAGGTGCTCTACCACTTGAGCCACTCTATCAGCCCTTTTCTGTGATGGATTTTTTTCACAAAATATTTGCTCAGGCTGGCTTCGAACTACAATCCTCCTGATCTCTGCCTCCTGAGTAGCTAGGATTACAGGCGTGAGCCACCGGCACCTGGCTCTCATATTCTTATTTTCACTTCCTAAAAGAGGACTACAAATTGGCTGAGCCTGTGCCTCTCTCTCTCTCTCTCTCTCTCTTTCTCTCTCTCTCTTCTCTTTCTCTCTTTCTCTCTCTCTTTCTCTTTTTTAGGCTATGAGTTGCTGGCATGAACACACAAGTAGACAAGGGCCAGACCAGATATAAAAATAGAACTCTATCACACAGTCTGCAGCAAACCAACCCGTTTTCTACAGTGACCTGCCCGAGATGCAAGCTGCTCTCTACAGATCAGACTTTTAGGAAGTCAGAATGCTGTCACCAGCAACAGATCTAGGAAGAAGACAAACAACTCAGGTAATAATGGGCCCTCCCAATGGCCAGGACTTGATT